TCAGTGCTGACAGATGTGGAGACTGTGGGAGAAAAAAACTTTGCATCAGCCTTTCGGCATTCCGACTGTGAAGTCATCCTCGCCGGCCCCCATCTACCGTTCCAACATTCCCTGACCATTTTCTTTTGTCTACATCTTTTCAATCTGCTTCCAGAGAAGTTTTCCTTTTAAGTGCAGTCTGTTGATCATTGACATGTCTAAGACGAATATGACTCCATGGCGCTCCCATCTTTTTGATACTTGAAGAAATAGTGACTGTAGCAACAGCATTTCTGTTACTACATTATTTACAAGCCCAAAACTCCCACATTGGTTCTGCTACACAGGTTTTTGAATACTTGTTTCCACCCAGTTTAAGCATTGAAACTGTTGGAGAGTATGACAGATGCATCAATCTGCTCATGTAACTCTTTAACTCTTAATACTTTCTGGACCTTTAAGGTCTACTGTGTACTGCAGCACATCCCTATGAGAGACAGAATGTAATATTTGGCAAAAAAATATGCAAATTAAATGTTATGGTCTTCATTCAAAAGTAGATCACACATAACAGGTGAACCAGTTAGGTGATGGGTGTGCCTTTTAGTGAGTATTATTTAAGCCAAACCACATACATAATTAAATATTCCAACTAATCATGAAGCATAACACCTGTTACACTGTGATGTGATCTTGTTAAAAGACCCAGTTCTTAACCCGTGTATCATGTCTGGTGGAAGATTTGGTGAGAATTGTGAACTCCTAAATTATCAATCTAATTCTAATATGAATTAAATCATTTGAGGGATTCATTTAAAGTATATACATGATCAGCTTGCGGCCTTTGTATTATCTTCTAAAGCGAGGCCTTGTGTTTAATTCGCCTCCCTGGTGAACACTCAGACTCCCTGACACGGGTCAGCGATGTCCTAGTGCCTTATCACGGTATTAGCACTCAGGCAGATCAGTGCTTTGCGTCAACTAACACTCAACCTTTGATGATAGCAAAACAGGGCACGGGTATCTGCATTGTGTGTGTGTGTGTGTGTGTGTGTGTGTAGTCATGAGTTTATCTTTTCCCTCTTCCTGCTCTCAATCATCCGGTCACATTCCAAAGCCATGACCGCCCCTTTCATTCCCAAACAGGCTGACATCTCCATGTGTTGTCCCCACTCTGTCTCGGTCGTTGCTTTGAACTTTCCACCTTTCTTTCATTCACTTTGTTTCAAGAACACCGCTGGAAGTGAAAATTATACCGAGAGGATCGAGGCATGTCTAAAATCGCAAATTCTGGGTCATCCGGTCACTCGGTGCTGCCGGCATTCTCTCAAGGTCAAAGTCCATCTCTGGACTGCTCCAGCAACATTTTTACAAGTGTCATCATTAACAGGTTCAGTATGTCAGTCTTACCTTCTGAAAGGCTGACTCCTTTTGAGATGGACGGTGATGACGTTCCCCATCAAACGTTCCCCTACTTTCTTTACAAAGAACTCACAGACTAACACACACCTGTTTAATCCCTCTTTACACGCCTCCCTACGTCGCATGTCTTTTGTTTTTTGCCTGTGTAAAATTACAGTTTTACAGGTGTCCAGTCGGCAAAGCAACGCTGACAGACAGGCATGCGAGAGGACAGCCAAGCACTTGTGTTCGCCACAAAGATCTTTCTTGTCTTACAACTGGCTGTCCTGCCCAGCATGTGGCTTTGGTTACAAAGCCCGCTCTTCTAGCGGGAGCACCCCTTCATCTCCCCGAGGAACACAGAGGACGATGGAAGGTGCTTTCCGAGATGAGCGGCAGAGTGGCTTCCTCTTTCAAAGGGCCGCGGATGTACATGGCTCATGGATTCCTGTGTTAGCTGGGAGATAGCGAGGCACCTGGAGAGGCCGTACAGGAAGACGGGACAAGAGACCAGAGGAGAGAGATGAGAAAAAACCCAGAGAGAAGCTGCTTACATTCGATGCCAAAGAAGGGACAGCAGCTCTCTCGGATTTCAAATGTCCGTTGCGTGTGAAATTGTGGTTTTCAAACGTATACCCCCCCCCTCCAACCCCCCAACCCCCTCAGACACGACTGCTCTCATCATCAGCATGTGAGGAAGTGGGTAGATTAGAGCTTTCACAAAAGCATGCTTGCACAGCGCTGAGTATTGTGGGTTCCACCTCTACCTGCAAAACACCCTCCCTGGGGTAAATCAACACTATTATACTTTTGATTTGAGCTGTTTTCTCTTGGAGCCAAAAGTAACAGAGAAAATCCAAGTGTTTGTATTTCATACGATGACAAATGAGACAAAAGGAGAGTCTTTGTTAGTGAAGCTTGGGACGGCTGTAAAACAAAAGGGCCTTTGACGATTGACACATCCAGAGAGTCCGCCGCCAATCTTGCGTACAATCCATTTCCTCAAGCCAAAGTGTTCTCTTTGTGTGTTGAATATGTTGTGGAACATGCTGGCCATTGATTGACATGGGCGCAGGGGCTGGTAAAACATTACTGTGGTGTGAAGCAAACTGCAGTCCGTCAGTCACACTGCCTCAGATGTTCGGCCTGAGGGGGGTATACTACCGAATGCCGCTTTCTCTCGTTCTCAATCCCTTTTCCTTCAGCTCATTCTGGATGCATTCACAATTGCATTATTGCCATCAAATTGTCAAACTCTCAACCTGGTCTTCTTACTGTCTGCGCGGACCTGCTGTCTCTTTTTCTCGTACAATCTGTCTCCACCCGCATTTATTTCATTGAGACAAAAGATTGTGAGCTGATTTGGCCGGAGTCAAGAAGCTGTCTCAGTTTTGGATCGTTTTTTTTAAAGGCATTTACAGTGATTGAAGGCCCCCAAAGTGCTTGCTATCATTAACATACCCCTTCGGAAATGAAAGTAGACATAATTCTCCCCTGATTTATCCTAAATGAATACATTTTAGACCACATTTGATGATGATCACCACGGCAATGTCGACAAAACCACATGAATACATTCTTAATTGTCCCATTATTTGTTTTGCAATACTGATAGGAAGCTATTTATATTTTTTCCAGGTATTCAAGGTATACAACTTCTAACTTTCAAACAGTTGGAAGGCATAGTAGTGACACCCAGTGTGAGTCACCACCTCGCACCTTTCTCTCCCCAAATGAAAACAATAGAAAAAATGCTGTATATATGAAATGACCTAATACTTGTGTATTTCCAAAATGTCATATGGATTGATTCAACACTGGCATTACAATTTTAATCAGCAGTGTAGAACCAGGTGTTAAAACACATGCGGCAGCCCTCCGGGCAATAAGAAATTGGACAAGGCACCAGGAAATTGTGTCTCCTCCAGAAACAAGTGTTTTGTGATTGTTTACCCCATGTCTTTAAATTGCATTTCTTCCTTTTTAATTCAAGCACAGCAGCTGTGGGATTGAGGGAGGGAAAGAGAGAGGGAAAGGGGATGTTGCAGGAATGGGGGAACCTTTTCATATATATTTTTTTCCCTTTTTCTATCCCTCCATCTTCTACAGTATTAACCCTGTGTGATGTGATTTCTGTCAAATGCAAATGTCACAACCTGATATGGTCGGCCCAGAGGGCACTTCGACTACACGTTCCACGGCCAAATTAATATATGGAGTCAGATGGTGTGTGTGTTTGTGTGTTCGAGCACATGTGTATGTTTGACTGGCTGACCTTGACATACTTGCAATTACAAAATAAATTCAGCAAAAAAATTATTGAGAGGACAGTCAAGGACATGAAATATGCTGGAGTGTCTGTATGAACATGTAGTCCAGTCAATGGGTTTCTCAATGAGGGACTTAATAAACTCCTGCCCACTCAAGATCCAAACTGACTTAGATACATTCTGTTTTTACGTTTTTATTTACAAGAAATACTTATTCCCCCCAAAATTGGCATGATTTCAAGTTATCCTCTTGAACTTAAGTATTCTTTTGTTTTATTCAGAATTGGCCAATTTGTAGCTTCAATCAAGAAAAAATGGTATTGCTAAGAGTTTTAATGACCTCCTGTCTTGTCTGTCCTGTCTTCAAAATTCAATGAGAATCGAAATCTATAAGCAGGATATGGTCACTTAAAATCGCTGAACACCAATCACCATGAACGCGATGTTAATTTGCAAGTCACAAGATTCTGGATATTTTTTTCTGGATGCATACATTAAAACCGTATTGACGCTGCTGCTGATGCGGTGTCACAATACCCCCGCTTTGACAGAAGAAGAGGGAAGGTTTTTACAAGCACACTAAAATTATGAAAGGTGATTTGTATTTTCCACAAGAGCTGTATCTGTAATTCTGCATATGAGTATTACATTTACCATGAGTGTAAATTCTGAATACACCGTCTGTGGTGTGAAGTAGTGACCACTAGAGGGGAGCATTTAATCAAAGATGAAGACCTATTCAATTGAGACAGGACACTATCCTCTTTTGGAGATGAGTGCAACATTGTCAAATATGTAAATTAAGTAGTAAATTAGGTAATACATTTCCCATGGGTTTAAAAAAACATGGTACTGATTGTATCCAGCATTTTATTTGCCTATTTTAACTTCTCTTTTAGAGGTTTGTGGCATTCATTCAATCATAAAATATTATGTGGTTTGAATCTGACTGTCATACTGTATATATGTATCCCTTTTAATGGAATTAAAAATATACATATTGACTAAAATCATTGGCCCTTAACTTGTAGTATGCACTTGCACTAGTATAGCTCACTACAACATCATGCTGAGACAACACATAGAACATGTAGGCCTACAGTTTGTCTCCAGTTCCCCATGAAGATCAGGTTAGTCTTGCTTCATTATTTGTAGTGCCAGATCTATAATGTTATATTTAAACAAATCTATCGTTCAGCATTTTGTAATTGCAGCAATACTTGAGGTAAACATTATCAAATAATCAGTGTGGCAAAATGCGTTCATTTAAGGGCACTTGTTTTGAGATGAAGATACTCTGGACACCTATGAAGGCAGCATCTCCTGGGCACCCTGATATGGATACGAGGCTGCGCTGCGCATGCGCCCTGTCAAAGGAGCAGAATTGTGGCCGCGTTAGCATCCGTAGCTAGCGGACTGATAGGGGAACCCGGTGCGGAGGAAGGCGCTCTGCGCACTCTAGGCAGAAATATATCGGAGACTTCAAAATACCCCCCCGCTAATCCTTGAGCTAACCATTATCCCTCCATGCTTTGCGGGAGAGGCAGATAACCCCCCGCACCGCCACCTCAATTAGCCGCCGTGCAAGACCGATAAGGGAAACTGCGTGTTTTAGCGTGAGGAGAGACCCTTTCGGGTGGAATCTGTCTCTGTAGCCGCAAACCGTTGACCAACGTGACCTCGTGCAACAATGAGGTTACCGAGTAACAGGCAGTGCGCGACGGAGGGAGATGGGAAGAAGATGGACCAAGCGCCTCCGTTCAGAAACCCTTTCGTGCACGTCTTGAAATTCACCCCGCTGGAAAAAGCAAAGGTAACGTAAACGCACATTTGTAGCCACACGACACGAGTTCTTCCACAGCTTACGTTATGTTATGTTAACATGCAGTTTCGGTACTTTGTGGGACGTTAAACACTCGCGTGTGACCCGGCGGGTAGGCTGTCACCATCATTTAACTTGGCAGTTTTCCCTAAATTGCAGCTAGCCAATGTAGCTAATCTTAGCTAGCCTGCTAACAGGAGCCACATAACATGTTGCTTTCCCCCTCCTGTCTTGTTGGGATGCTGCCTTTTCTAAATACTGCTGGAAGGGCCTGATTTTTATTTTTATTTTGTTAACGTCTAGCTAACGCTACAGTAACGACCTGCATTGCACACCTTAGTACACAACATTACAATCAACGCCGCTCGCCCAGGAATCTGCTAACACACCGTCGGGATAACGGAGCGCTACTTGCGCCTGGCCGCATGTCGCGGATGGGCCTAGCTTGTTGCTGTCGCGGACGAGTCGGTCGGGCAATTTACCTTTACAGGGATTCGGGGGGCTGGTTTCAACGTGCTGCTTGGTGGTTTTTATTATTACAAACACTTGTGAATTTGGAGGGTTAGCAATAAACCTGACCGGCATCCTTCATTTTCTCCCCATCTGAAAGTTATTGACACGTTTTTTCCAGCTGTTGAAGTCCACAGGTTTTTCCATCATTATTTACTTGATTAAATTGTTTCAATTTAGCTGGATCTTCAAGACACTGGATTGATTACTTGTTTTCTTGTGAGCATTACATTATCTTGGGCCAGTTTCGAAATAGGAAGTCACACTTTTGCTCAGCTCACCTGATCTGTTCGTTTACATTATTAGAGAAGTGATGGCAACAGAGGGATTGAGAGGCACCTTGAAGGCTGCATACTACTCATGATCATGTTTGATTTATATAGTACGTTAACATCAGAGAAAATACACTGAAAACATGCATAATGCACTTTAACATGGTTTGATTTGAGTGCGTTGTTCTTTTACTTGTATCACCCGTAGCTCTAAAGCAAGGAAATGCATGTTTTTATTAAATCAGTTTCCTTTTCCTTTTTACATCTCCCTCATTTGAAATTGCCAGCTTCCCATGTATAATCATCCGGCATTAAATAGCTTTTATTTCAAGGTAGCACATTCATTTCTACTATGTTACCTGCCATATTCATTCATAGGGTTGGTACTGTTAAGGCTTAGTAAACATTATGACACAGTTGTGTGGTATCTTCAGTAACTGACTTCAAACCAATGTTAGAGCCTCGGTTTTATGAATGGCCCAAAACTGGCATAGCAGGCACAGAGGAGCATCTTGTTAAGTATGAATACTGACCTAGAAGAGTTGAAACACACGCACTCTTTGTTTTTCCCTTCTCACTGTTTTGACGGAGACTGAAGGGCAAAAGAGGTAGTGATAAGTGGATCAAAGCCACGGGAATAGACACGTTTCTGCTTTAAGGGAGTTGTCAACAGAGGACTGCACTGAGTTCATTTATACATGCCAATTACATGCGAAAGCGTGTTCAGCGTGCAAATTCAAGTTACAATTGCAGATGCTTCCTTTTGACAACTGAACAAAAAATACGAGACGCAACTCTCTAGTCCCCTAAAGTGCAATTTAATTGTCATATTCTTTGTAACGAAGCTCTTTCACGCAGTATGCATGAACATGCTGTTGTAACTATACATTGAATATACTTCAAATGGATTTTTGTTTGCATCAAGTGCTTAATCCAAAGATACATGGCAATGAGTGCTCCTTCTGGTGTGACTGAGTATAAATGTTTTCAGCATGTTGTGCACGTCTCGGTGCATCCGAAGCAACCTTAAAAGGTTGCAATCTGAAGTGAAACGTGGAAGATATGAGCAGGAAGTGAAAGCGCCACATAGCATCTGAGTAGCTAACAGATAGATAAACCCACACGGTGCTTTTATTGGTGCACAAAAAAAATAGATTACATTTCCATTGCAAAATGACTGTCACAAGCACTAAATGGTGTGAGATGTGAATTATTTCACTAGCAGAGTCCAAAATTCTCTTTTCACCGGCCAACAATATCCTTCAGTAAGTTAGTATTCTGTAGATCAAATGTTAAAGAAGAAGCCAGCACATTTTAAAGCAACATTAAGCGTGTACTGTAGCGGTGAGACCAAAGCGCTGAATAATCAGATCTTTATCTTATTTATCACATAACTATTTGTATGTCTGAAGGCTGCACACCAGCCTTCACAGATTCAATCCTCTGTTGGAAAATCTACTCTCATTTGGCGGATGTCAATATCGGACCCTCTTCACAAGTGTTACAGTTCATGTAGTGAAACCTGAAGAACATTTGACAGCCATGATTGGCCGGGGGCTGATTAGACTTAGAGTTTGGGATGCAGTGTTTCCCCAAAGTGTACAGGTTTGGAGGCGGAGGGGCGGACAGACACCGACACATGGCACTTTCCGCCGCACGCTCTCTGTCCGCTGGTGAGATTGTGCTCACCTGTGTGCGTCCACATTGTCTTTGTGTGCTAATCAGAGTGGAACTCCACCAGAGGAGAATTTCAAATGCCCAACCATTTACAGATGGAAATGAAGACCCTCGTTTATAATCCTTTATGGGATTTATTTACTGTTTGGGTAGACTGCAGCAATGACACAATAGCTTATTCCCTCACTGTAAATAACTGCATTTCTGGCTTTTGAAGTGGAGGAGTGATGAGTTCCTCACATGGTTCTTCTCCCCCTGTACCTGAACATGCTCACACTGACTCTGTGCTGGCTAGCGGTTAGCTGATGGACACTGATCAATCACTAAAGGTGCTAATACAAAACACAACAGCAAAACAATTACAACAACTGCAAGGCTGTTTGCAAAAAGTAAACACAAACTTGTGTGATTGCTTTGACACAAGACTGATCCCTTTTGGCCAGAACCACAAACCACCCGGCTAAGAGTTAGCCGCCACTTTGTTGCGTGCGTGGTTGATTTCAGTGCAGAGATAATATCAGGAAATTCATAACATCTGGGTCACAGCTAAATGCAATTCTTGCTTTGCATTCTATTAATTGTTACTGCCATATAGCAACCCTGGTGACAACTTGTCATTTCAATAACAAGAAAAGTAATTTGTTTTTTGGATTTACAGAATTTTTAAAATGTTGGCTCTGCTTTGCAGCTGTTATACAATTCCAAAGACCGACGAGAGTTATTGCATACATTTAAAGATGCCTTGTAGAATAATGGCTGAATTACTCCAGCTCGTTTCACTTAAGCATTGCCTTTTTATTTTAATTCCAAGTGACATGCATGCATTCTCATACTTTGATACTTTTTCAGAATTTTCATTTTTCAACAACCCTGCAAGTCTGGTGCCATCTCTGTGTCTCGTTCCCTCGCGCACATATCAAATCCTCGAGGCTCTTGGTGTTTGTTTTCTTCCGGTGATGTGAGATTGGGTGACGAACCACAGCAGGGCACGTCGTCTCAATCAAGTAGCCGTCACGAGTGTCTACGTTATCATTTTTAAATGTCTCCGGTTATTCCGTTCCCGAGATGAGTATTTTTTTAATTAAGTTTTGGGTTCTGTAAAACCCCGGCCTTTTGTGGCCGCTCAGTATTAAGGCAGCAAAGAGATGCGCCTTATTTGAAACATAGTAGTGTGGACATGGCCTACAACTGTCTACCATTCGACTGATCTCCAAGATGTGCTTGCTGCTTATCGTCAGTAGTTTAACAAGATGGCTTTAAATGTATTGATCTGAACTTCACCATGGCGTCAAACAACAACTCTCCAGGGATAATCTAGGCAGATAGGCTTCATGTTGCCCAGTAGTGGTTGCTATCAAGACCAACATTGACATAAGATAAGCGCTACAATCAGGGAGTCGTATACAAAAGCTGTAAACAGTCCCCAGTGCACCAAACCAAGGTTTTGTTAGAGCCTTTTAAGAATTTGAACAAATGTTGTTTCTAGTATTGGCATACTACGATAGTATAGGGGCCGTATTATGACCTAAGAGTTGAGGCAACATCTGATTTAAATTGTTTAGTACAGACCCTGCTGCATGCTTGCAGCCACCTGGAGAGGAAAGGCCTCTCTGCTTCATTACATGATGGTAGATGAACTACATATACTTTTTATACTTTTTCTGTACAACAGATGTTTATAGTTAATTGCCTCATAAGACAGAGTCGTCGCTGTTGCCCGGTGGGCTTTCTGGTATCGTGCTTTGCTAAAGATGTAATGAAATCACCTCTCCCGGGATACGCTAGGCAGATAAGCTGCATGCTGATTGCAGTAGTGGTTGCTATCAAGACAAATATTGATAAAAGATAAGCGCTGCAATCAGGAATGCGATGCAATCTTTCCCCCATATATATAAAAAATATATATTTTTAGAAATATCTTTTTTGATTGTTTTTCCTGGTACACAGTTAATATTTTGCATTAGAAAGCATTCATTTTGAGACAAATAAAATGATTGAAGTAAACGACAACTTAATACTGCATTGGCTAACTTCAAAGTGGGACTGTAACAGCCCCAAGATGTTTGACAAAATGTGTGTTGTTTGATTTGTTTCATTAACCCTTTTCTCTGATACTACACTGTCTTGCAGATTGCGTTAATGACGGTCACGCTGTTCCCCGTCCGGCTACTCATAGCTGCGTTCATGATGCTGCTGGCTTGGCCGTTTGCCTTCCTGGCCACAGTAGGACGTTCAGAGACCAGCGTGGAACCCCAGTGCCTCTGGAGGAGGTGAGTGCTTTTTTTAATGTATTTCTCTGTCTGGTCGTGCAATAAGTATCATTGATCCACTGTGAGAATACGTCTCTCGGTGTCATTCACACTTTGATTGTAGGAATGCACCTGTGACAAGGGGCTGCTAATGTTGCTATCTCGTCTTAGTCTCTGTCATTCTTCAGCTTTTGTTCTCAATCACTTTTTTTTTAAAGAATATAATCTGGCCTATTGTAATGTTGACGGGAGCTACTTAATAGCCTTCCTAGCAAGTCCTACGGCCTGTCCTGGATGCCATTTAGCCGAGAGTGAGTAGTTTTTAGCTTATGAATTAAAATGGCTGCGAACGAGGAGAGTCCAGCGGGATCGAGGCAGAACCGAGTCAATGGTGTAACTGCACTAATTCTACAAAACAAGTGTTCAAATCTTATTTCCCCTATTGTTAAAATGCATCGTTTCCGCTTAGGCTCAGTGAGTCATTGCACATTTATTTGATGTAAACTGACCGCATCTATTATCTTCTATTCTAAGAGATATCATGGCATTGGCAATATGCATCTGAAATAGTGTTGGACGATTAATACCCATCTGCAGATGAAAAGTGCACCTCACACATGCATTATCTTGTTCCAGACTAGTGGACATAACTTTGAAGATCATCATGCGGGTCATGTGGTTTGCGGGTGGTTTCCATTGGGTGACTGTGAAAGGCCGAAGGGCGATGCCTGCAGAAGCACCCATCCTCACCCTGGCACCCCACTCGTCCTACTTCGATGCCATCCCAGTCACCATGACAATGGCTTCCATTGTAATGAAGGCTGAGAGCAAGGATATACCTCTCTGGGGCAGTAAGTAACAAATGCATGTATAATATTACTGTTATTATCTCTATGACCTTCTACAGTGTTGCTACTTTGTCCTAAAGATATTGTTTAAAGAAAAATGATACGAAGAAGCAGAAATAGAATACCCTGTGGTTGTCACACTAAGATGGGAAAAATAAAATAACTCTTTCTAAGACGTAACATTTAAATACCATGGATCTAGATCTAATTGTAGACACAATAAAACATCTTTGCAAATTCACTTGTTTTATTTGAGATTATTAGTCACTGGCCGACCAGCCTCAGTATTAAACCTGAACCAGAAATGGCCTTCAGTTGCAGATCCTATTAACAAGCTTGCAGGTTAAGTTACGTTTTGTAGTTGCCAGGTAAGGCATTTGTTCTTATACCCCTGGCAGCAGGAAGGGCACTGAAAGGGCTACGTGTTTGTTATTTGAGCCTTCGTTTCTCATCCTCCTCTTCCTTCCAAGTCAGTAATTGGCCTCCCTGTTACCTCCTGGCAGAGTACACGTGCCAAGTTACTGCAGCCTTACTTGCTTTAATTATGGAATTTAAAACCGAATTTGCTCATTGGCTTATTCTCTATTTTGTGAAGATGTTTCAAAGATCTCTAGTCAGTATAATTAAATAATTTTTGTTAAAAGGTTTAGACTATGTCAGTGTCCTTGCAATAGGAACCCGTCACCAATGCCTGGCCAGCCGAGGGGAATCCAGAACAAGCATTAAGACCTGATCAGCCACAGTGACGTATGTAGGTGTCTCTCAGGGTAGAGTCCTAATCCCTTCCTTTTGGCAGACGGCTTACAGTTGGAATCGATGTCTTCCTCTCATGGCCTAACTCTCCTTCATTTCATCTTACGGTCCTTAATGTGTTGTGCATTACTCTATGAATTTAACTCTTTGCCTACCAGAAACATTGCTTATCAAATGTGTATATTGTCAATGATTGGATGTAAGAGAAAATGCTTCTCAAAATAAAACTATTGCACATCTGCCTAGATTATTCAAACCCTTAATCTTTGCCCTGCAAATTGTATTACTATGCAAATATTTGCCAACCAGACCTTTCCTCATAGTGCATTGACACCGTGTTCATTGTATCACTCTGTCCCACCATTTGAGAAGCAGTTTTTTTGCTCAAATACAATCACGTGGCTTTGCTATTATTATTATTATTATCATGCCGTCAATTCTAAAATGGTATGATAAAATGACACTGATGCTGTATATTGGTTTATGTGCTAATGTGTTTTTAGTCGTTTCTCGCAAACCAATGATGGTTAGAAGTCAGGCAATCGGCCCTTCATTGTAAAGTAGTCAGATCCAACCAAATATAGTTTTCTGGGTAGTAACAATATACCACAAAACACTTACTTCATGCACGACATTAATGAGGCGGAAGTTTTGGTCAAATGTCTTAAAATATTAATACATTGATGTGTATATCTATCTCTATCTCTCTCTCTATAGATAGATATCATGATCAATTGACGCGACTGCAGTGACCAAAGACCAGTTCCTTTTCATTCAATGTTTGAAATTATTTATTATTAAGAGTTAAGAGTCTCAAGTTGATTCTTGGCCTGCAGTTCAATTAGGGCCTAGGACGGAGGGCGTAACCACGCATCCTTTGGGAGCGTCGTGTCCCCCCCCCAATATTGAGAAAAAAAACAATCTGCCCCCCCCTCCCCAATATACAGCAGAAAATATGTAAAATATATGTTTCCTTCCTCTTATGAACCTTTTGTTAAGCAAAACCGCTCAGCGGGGCCGCAGTATCCGCGCCCCCCCCCCCAATGTCTAAACCATATTTACACCCTTGACGGAGTAGTAATAGATTTGTTCATCAACTTCTGTACTTTTACCCAAGAGTGTAACTGCTTTTCAAAAATACCAACTTACAGCATAAGAAAGTAGGGAAATTTCTCTGAGGAAGAAAAAAGTTTTTGTATTGATTTTCCGTCTGCTTTCTCACTTCCAGCTTTGATTAAGTTCATCCGGCCAGTGTTTGTTTCGCGGTCAGACCAGGACTCCAGGAAGAAGACTGTGGAGGAGATCAAACGCAGAGCACATTCGGGAGGGGAGTGGCCTCAGGTAAAGAGGCAGATCATTTTATGCAAACATGCACAGAACATGAATAGACTTTATTAAAAACAAAAACGGCGAACAACACAATACAAATATTGTACATTAAAATTGATTTACTTTTATAAATTCAACAAAGTTTAAAAACTACTTTTTTGTATATAAAATAAGTAAAACGTGTAATGTAAGGTTACAACTTTAGCCCTGGTTGTCTGATGTTATGAGGAAGGTATGTCTTGTGGGGTCCACATGATGCTTCAAAAAGACCTGAACATCCCTGAAAAGGACTAAGCTTGAGACGGCTGACAAATGGACAACCATCCATCCATCCAGTCCCAGTGCAATGCAGCACTGCATAAGACATAGTTACAACTTACTGCACGGATGACTTTGCATCATGCAATCTAATGCAAGCATGTGCATATTTACACGCATGCTTTGTACCATTCTGTTAAGGATATGGCTACTGATTTCTTTTTAAATTTGCTAATTATTCCTTTTTTCTTACAGATAATGATTTTTCCAGAGGGAACATGCACTAACAGATCCTGCCTAATCACATTTAAGCCAGGTAAGGCTCTCCCATTATCATTTTTAATTCTTATTCAGCTGTCTTCTCTTGTATCTTTTGTGGAAGTCATGCATCCAACTTGCTAGCATGCACTGACATTTCCTACTCAGCATAGTAGGAATAAGTTTATTATATTAATAACCATACACATTTATTTAACATCCCATTTTTCTTTATGTGGGATGTGCGGTAGTATAATCAAGCATTGCATTTTTGCAACAAAAAATCTGAGTTGAATTAGAAAGCCCCACACTTCGCTTTTGAAGGATTTTTTGTAAAGTGCAGCTCACATAGGATATATGCATTTCAGAAAGGAAATGCATAAGTGATTGGCTGTAACCAATGCTGATTACAAACTTTGGTAGATGTTTGAAAAGCAAAATAAGTGCATTTGCATTTCTGTTTTTTATTAGTCAGATTTCATTGAATCAACCTTTTCAAATGTACATTCAATATTGTATTTAGTGTGCGCTTACTCTTAATTCTTTTTTTTTTTTAATGATGAAATGTCTAATTGAATTAATCCTCATTTTTTTACTCATGAAGGGGCCTTCATCCCAGCTGTCCCAGTACAGCCTGTGGTGATTCGTTACCCTAATAAACTGGTAAGATTACCCAATATCTTTTTTACATTGCATGTCGTTGTTGGCTTCTGCTAATGCGCTGAATCCCACATATTGCATCCTTTTTTAAAAGCGTAATCCGTGCCATCAGATGGGCAGCGGTGGCTCAGGGTGATCAATCCTCTAACTGGAAAGTCCATGGTTTGATCCCTGACTTCCACTTCACCAGAGTGTCCCAATTGGTCCAAAGGGTCCACATTTGTATTCAAAATAGTTTTGTGAATGCAAGTAAATGCATTTGTTCCTCAATTTCTGGGCTTGCACTTTTATTTGTTTTTTATGGGCATGCAAGGTTTTCCCTTCTATTTAGTGCATAAAAAGCTACTGGGAGAAAAATAGCAATTAGTAAAATATTGAAAATATTTTTGAATATAATTTGAATAACATGTATTTTTCTTTTAATAACTGCAGGACTCAATCACATGGACTTGGCAAGGACCTGGAGCGTAAGTACACAATTTAATTTCTTATATGAGGTGACTTTTTTTAAAACTAATAGTTATGGCTGGAGGCAAGAGACTGCCCTAATTATCCGTCTCTGCAGCATCCTCAGAATACGATGTCCTGCTCTGGTTTGGATTCCATAATTATGGTGGCTCTTTGAACGCAGTTTGCTTTCTCTCCAGTTTACCGGAGCAGGGTTATACATTGTTTTAAATAAATCTTTTAAAAGATGCAAGATCAACACTTAACTGTTTTTATATTTGTTGCACAAGTCTTTTTAACTTTCATTTATGCACACACACACACACACGCACTTGAACATAGAAACCTCAGATTGAGAAACGGCACTTGAAATGAACCACGTTTATTTCTGCTTGTAACTCATGATGCTAGTTGTATTTTTTGGTTTTGTTTATTGCTGTTATGATGTAATGTCGGCACCTTGTTTGTGTTATTATTGCTTTTTGTTTCTGTCTTAGTCCTAGTTGCACTTAAAAGATTTTCTCATCCAAAAATGTTTATACGGGAGTATAAAGTGACACGTTCTTCCAAACATCTCATAGGAATGTGTGTATACCAAAATTGAGCTTCTAAATGATTAAAAACATAAAAATGCTGCCTACCCTCAAAAGTTGGTGCATAGAAACTAGGCAGTTTTAAAGGAAATGAATTAAAGTTCTGAATAATGACACATTTTGATCTAAATTTGCCGAAGCAAATATTTTCTTATTTACTGTGATTTTATCGTATGATGGCAAAAATGCATCATACATTTTTATGTCATTTTCCCCATGAACATGGACCCTAATCAAAGCGCTTTGTTTCTGTATATGCGGATTTTTGCTGATAACGATGTCTTGTTGTTTTTTAGGTTTGAAATTTTGTGGCTGACACTCTGCCAGTTGCACAATGAGTTTGTCATTGAGGTAAGTGTGAAACTCTCTCCATATTTTACTTATTATTGTGGCTTTAGATCATGACACATTTAGTTATATTGCAACGTATGTTGCTGCTCGCTACAGGTGCTACAGACTTTCTCTTTTTCCTGATTACTGAATTGAATGCAGTGGGAATACATATTATATTTGTCCCCAATAAATGGTTGTTTGTTGTTTTTGTTATTTTTTAGTGATTGTATTCAGATACTAAAATGTCAATACTATAATAAAACCTCTTGTTGGAGATTTTGCCAATTAATCATTGATTTTTCCTTCTGCAGTTCCTTCCCATCTACACACCATCAGAGGAGGAGAAAAATAACCCTGCTCTGTTTGCGATCAACGTGAGACGGGTCATGGCTAAGTGAGTTAATTGTTAAATAATATTTGGCGGTTGCACATATTTGTCTACACAAAGGACAAGAGAGACGAGCGCACACACAGACTCTCACTCAGACATAAACATTGTGAAGCGGAGCAACCATCACGTAGAAATGGCTTCATATCAAACTGATCAGATGCTGCTTCCAGCCTTCAATGATCGACCCCACGTCCTGATCAGAGTCCTCTTAAGTTTTCTGCACCAACCGACATCAAACCCCCTACATTGGCCTTTGTGAACCTTCCGCTGCATTGATTTGCACATACCGATGTCCTGTCATTGTTTCCTCTCAGAGCCCTCGGGGTTCCAATCACAGATTATTCATTTGAAGACTGCCAGCTGGCCATGGCAGATGGCCAACTGAGACTGCCTGTCGACACCTGTCTGCTGGAGTTTGCCAAGCTCGTCAGGAGACTGGGGTGAGTCACTCGGACCTTCTGATGCAATGCTCCAATCAAAGAGGGCCTAGTAAGGGGTTAAGAGGCGAGACCGTGGCAAAATACTCATCAGGCGCAACAGCCAGCGAGATTTAATTTGTGCAGGAATGTTTTGGACTGGATATACGTCAATTTTCTGTTCAGATACCTGCGTAGTTTAAGACCTGGAGGGAGATTGTCTTCACTCATTCTGGGTGGAACTCCCCTCTGGCAGTGAAAGGCAGCATCTGGCAGCACTAGGTGTATTAGTGGAGACACATGACTGTCTTCTCCCTCCCCGGTCCAGCCCTTGGCTTCGACATGGACCTCTGACAGTGCGGCGGAGGGAAAAGGAGAACACGGATAGAAAACACATAGAGGACGTAGAGAAGTAAATGTTTTGTCCCAAATAAGTCAAAAGACTGAATAGACTGCAGCCCTACAAGCTACAGTTTGTCATCCTTAAAAACAATAGGACACAAGGAGTGTTTGCTCTACTGAACCTACTGTTTTGATGTCTGTTTATTAAATATTTTATTTTATTCTCGGCTTTTCTACATTTCTTGGTTTGCAGATCGATAATAATTCAGTTATATATGGCTTGTTCCCCTTGCTCTCCCAGGCTTAAACCCTGCAACACTGAGAAGGTTTTGCAGGATTATGGGAACAAAGCCAGGAAGCTGGAAGGTCAAAAGCTGGACTTGGACGACTTTGCTCAGTTCCTGGATGTGCCAGTTTCGGAGATGTTGCGGGATATATTCGCTCTTTTTGATGAGGTGACGACTTCGGATTTTTCCATCACGTCCACGATACTTCTTTTGTCTTAAGTGTCCGCGAGCAAATGCCCTTGCATTTTGTCACCGTCACCATAAGACTCTCTCATTGTGTCCTACTTGCATTCACTGCGAATTTAGAATTGAAATACAATAATTCTATTTAAATTACTGAACAAAACAAACAATAAATACTTGAATTTATGGCCAAATGTCCGAGCAGTCATTTGACAAAGTGCATCTACAAAAATACTTGAGGCTCGAGGTTCAATACCAGATACATTTGAAACTAATTGCAGCACCTTGTTTTTCACTCGGGAATACGTTTGTATTTTAGTACCCAAACACGTAATGGAGATTTTATTGCCGCAGTGTGTTTATGACCTAAACAACAATCACCCGCAGATACTTCTGTGAAATGAACAGATAAGTGGCCCTGCTCATATCTTCTGTCTGGATCTTTTGTAACGTGTAGTTTTCTGTTGTTCTTTCAGCATGAAGATAACTGCATGGATATCAGAGAATACGTGATCGCCTTATCTGTCATATGCAGACCTGCCAAAGCTCTGGAAACGATGAAATTGGCCTTCAAGGTATGTTCTGTTTCACAGAAGTGGTTCTCTATGCTTGCTCAGGATCAGCATAACATTTCCTCTGTGAAAATGCCACTAGCTGATGGTTGTCATGTATTTAGCATAGCAGAGTAATTCACCTATTCTAGCTTGCTGACGACTTTACAAAATATTTTCCCTCATGTTCGCGCTCAGCTTTTCATTTCAGAACTTAAAAGAACATTTTAGATTCTGAAAAGAACTTTTTAACTGGTGTCTTTGGTAACCAATCTAGTTTTGCGACTGCACGATTGAGTACAGATTTTTTTATTTGGGGAAACCTCAATTATTTTGGGAAAGGGGAATCCCTTAAACCATTTCACTGGCTCTTTTTCAGAGTGGTTTGCTTTGAGGCAAAGACGTGACGTTTGCAATTCTCCCCATTGTATTTTCTCCAGATGTTTGAGGCAGAGGAGGACGGGGCCATCACGGAGATGGAGTTGGCAGTCATCTTGAAGACAGCTTTAGGAGTGACTCATCTCAGCGTGTCACGGCTGTTTACCGCCATCGATCCTGAAGACACAGGGAAGATCACTTTTGGTAAGCGATGTAATTCAACTATCACTGGTCACAACACATTTTTGTTAATCCTAGTTTTTAATGTTGCTTTATTGTTGTTTTTCTTTTTTTTCATGGTGAGCAGTATATTCTGCAACCAGGCCTGTTTAATTTTAAATGTAATCCCATCGCTGGGCTTTATTTAGCCTGCTGTCTCATCTGGACTGTGTCTCTGGCGCCCTCGTGTGGTCTTTTCACAGATAGGTTGAGATGCTTTGCGGAGCAACAGCCGGACTTTGCTGAGACCTTCCTGTACACAGAAAACGCTGGCCTCCACAGCGGCTCCAGCCACGGTCACCAAACGAAGCCCAGCCTGTCTTCCCAGAGCCTGCGCGGCACTGCCACCACCAAAACAGCCAACGGTATCTGCCCCGACTTCAGCCCCAAAGACCTTGGTGGAGTCAAGAAACTCAACTGAAATGGTTTGGGAATGAATTGGGAGAAAACCCCTCTCCTGGCGAGAGGGGGATATTTTTCGGGACAGGGGGAAATGATGTACTTGTAAGCTAGTAACTTGTTTGAACTGTAAAGGACTACAGTTCAGTAATCAAAACTACAAATAGTAAAAACGTTTACCTTTTTTTAAATTGTATTGTGTTCATGGATTTCCTTTTTTTTAAATTCTTTTTACAGCAAGGATATGTTTTATTTGTAACTTTTATCTGTATTCTCCCTTGAATAGTAGCTGCCATTTTTATTGAAAGTGCAGAATGCATGGGCTCATGTTATTGTGAGTGGTACTGAGGATTATTTAACAAAAGAAGGGCCGCCTGAGGGAACCAGTGACATTGTATGACTACTAGGAAGTTGAAAGCTACAGTAGACACATTTGAGGTGAACTCGGGTCTCATAGTTAACAGTCGTAACTGCTATCGGCCTGTTAAATATACGGTGATATATTTGATTTAGCTCAGGGTTCAGTGACAAAAATGAAAAACTTTACTTGTATGATGTCATCATTTTTGACTCTAGCTGGGTTATATGCATGTATTTTCTTCTTACAGTAAATCAGTACTCTTCTGCCGAGTCATTATCCATTCACATTAACTTTTACATTTATTTCAGGTTGGCAAATTTCAGTGTCTTCTTTTCGTTGTTGAAATTTCACAATGTGGACCAAAAATGCATTCGATGATCTAACGTCACCTGTGTGTGTGTGTGTGTGTGTGTGTGTGTGTGTGTGTGTGTGTGTGTGTGTGTGTGTGTGTGTGTGTGTGTGTGTGTGTTTGTGTGTGTGTGTGGGCGCGGCCGGCGGTTACACAATGTAGACCCATCTAAATCATATTCGGTTAGTCTGTTATGGTTAGTCTGGTATAAAGGCAAGGCTATATTACTTATACGTTACACTGCTACATTTAATTCATTCTTGTAATTTTCCTAATCCTCCCCGAACTACCGTTCACGTGTTAAATTATGAAATCTTGAAATAACGGCCTTTTAGTTCATGTTTTTACATTTTTTAAAACCAAACCTCACTATCCGAGCATGTTATCACATTCAAGAGACCAGTCTGGAAATGGTAATAATCTCCCCCTGTGGTAACATTCATGCCTTGTTGTTTTTTTTCTAATTGTTGTCTGATTGGCATAAAAACATCCGTCATTGCATGCGATAGAAATACTTATTCTACAGACATGCAGCCTGTACCCACACAATGTGTTTATAATCACACGGCCTTTATTGTCAATATTTTAGAATACTCATTTGATCTCAAATCAAGCATTGATTAGTCTTAATTTATTGGTATTTTACTTCACTGGAGTTATATCCATCCTCTGACATTATATCATCTGTCCTTTTGTCCTGTAAATGCAAGAAAGTATCTGAAATTACAGTCAACCTCTGGTTGTATCGGCAAAGAAAATCCCATCCTATAATGCTCATTTCAATCATTTGCCAAAAATGTCTTTTAGTCATCTTCGTGTGTCTCAAACACACAGGCTACAACTTCTCGTAAAATATACAGTGCTTCACACTGTCATTTTATAGAACTACTACTTAAAGGGAACCCCCTCCAGAGCAGATTCAATAACGCATCAGAATGTTTGTAGTTAGTAACAGTTTGTGCATTTGTGGTTTGAATCTTTGAAAAACTTTTTTGCTTATTCTGTTATTTCATTATGTTAGTGAGCCTCCAGTTCCCATCACATTCATGACCATGTATACTGTACAAATGTCTCCATTATGGCTTCTGGTGGAGTGGTATTTCATATCTCTTAAGCTCTCAACATGTATGCTTTTTGAAGAGTTCTGATATGTATTTTGAATATTCCAAATGCAGGACATTTTGGGAATTTTTGATATACATATGCGGTTGATTTTTATTTTCACTGCCATGACAAAGATCTGTGATCTTCTCTCCTCTGCAGATTGTATTGATAGTGAAAAATTATCCTCATTTTCTTTTGTATAATTGTTTCGTGCTGTATTCCTCCAGATATCGTGGAGTTTTATTGTTCTATTATTGCTTAGTTGACTGCTTTAGAGACAAAAAAATACAGATTTCTTATGGAAACCGATAGCCTTGAATCTAATAGAAGTTTTATGCTAAAAGAAAAAGAATGTATAGACAATCTTGTCACTATCAGAAGCTCCTGAAAGCACTGAGCTCGTGGACATTTTCCCTAAGAAATCATGTCTTTGAAATGTCCACTTGTTGTCCTGTTTCAACCCGCTCTCCACCAACCTCGTGTTTCCTGTTAAAGGCGTGCTGGTTGAAAGGAGTACCGTGTTAGTGTGTCGGGCCTCGAGGTGAACCACCACATGACGGGCCGCATAGCAAAACACTGCACGCACGTGCACTCGCATATGTTACATCACAATCTTTAGAGATTTTTATATAGTATTGTTTTCATGCTTGCACTTTAGATTACTCGTTTTTTTTGTTTTTTTTTAAGAAATATTACATTGCTGTTAAGCATGTTAAGTTTGTAGGTACAATATTGTAGCTCAATTTTGTCAATTTGTATTTCATTCATACATCTGCTGCAATAATGAGAGCACAGAGGAACTTAATCACCCATTGAGCGGCGCTGTTCCGCTCCCACGTTGGTTTTTGTACCTTTTAAGAAAGAGTTTGGTTTGTTTAAACATGTAAAACACTTTCACTCCCACTTTTTTTGTCTTGTCTCAGGATTGTGGAAGTTTTGTAGCTTAAAACGGCTTTGTAAATTTATCGGACTTGGCAACAGCGTACTGATGTGAATGCTTTAAGCTGCACGGAGAAATGGATAAGTGTTAAATGTAGCACTCGGTCATGTGCGTGTACGGCGGGTGGTTAAGTATACAATTTACTGAATATGTACGGGGGAAACCGTGCTGTTTTTGTACATATATATGCAGAAATGTGATAGTAAATGTTCAACTGAAACAAAGAGTTGACATTTGAGATCTGAGCCAGAAGTAAACGTGTTGAGCCACAGTAAGCCCCCGTGCAGTTTTGGTCATTTTAAACCAACATTCCCATGTGTAGTTCTAAAGGAGGATTTTATGTCATCAGCAAGTCAAATATGTACATGTATTTAAACCATTTTAACTTGCATCGGGCCGCTATGGAAAGAGTTCATTTTGATTGAAATTGTTTTGTTTTACTTCCCTTTATTTCAAACTCCTCCATAGAGACGAGTCTAATTTTTTTTTTTTTTTTTTACTTGCTGTCAGTCGGATGAAATGTAAACCTGCAGGAGATGAACTTGTATTTATGCTACTGCTGCCTGCTCCGTTCGCCCAGCAGCGAGCCCAAGACGAAAGACTTGCTTACTCTTGACGAGGCGATCGTGTCTTTCTGATGGCTTACCGCCTGTGGAGCAAGAAACGTAACTTTGTTTTCTCCGGCGCTTTATTTCCTGTCTTTTTCTAAACTCAACAGGTTTTATTTTGTTAACTCATTTCGATGAAGAGTCATTACTGCAAGCTACTTTGAATCTGTCTATTCAGGACTGCTATGATATAACTTGTTAATGTGACTCTTGGATTGAATAAAAAAAAATAAAAATAAAAATGCGAGCAGACGCTTTTGTCACTGGCGTGATGGTAATTGTGTGTGTTTGTTGCATGATGTAAAAACGTGCTGTTAAAATGTGTTTATCTCTGCCAGCCAAACGTCAGCATGTCCGTGTTCTGACTAATGCACAGTGAGCTGCATACAAATCCGTTGTATGATCTTGTTGTTCACAGTGCCTTTTACCCTTGTTAAAAGGAAATACTCATCGCCCCGCGTTACAAAATGTGTATCATAAGGTGGTTTCCTCTTGAATCCCCTCATCTGTCCCTTCCATCCCTCCTCACCCTACTTCTCTCTGGGTCTCAGCTGTTGCATTTATGAAAACAAGATACTCTTATTATGTTCACCTCCTCGGAAACCTCATGCATCCGGCTCGGCCCTCATCGACCCAACAATCTGTTATGAGGCCCGAGGCTCGATGGATTACTGTGTGGCTCGTGATGGCGGCGGTGGTGTTGGTGTTTAGGGGGTTAGTGGCCGATTGATCGCTGCAATTTGCTTGCAAACAAAAGTCATCTTCAGCGCGAGAGTCATGGATCTGTCCGTGGGGAGCGGGTTGATTGGGTTATTTCAAAGACCCGGTCCTGTTAAGCTTAATTTTGAAATGGGAGAGGTCTCGATGTGAGGGCAAAAACAAAGGGGAGAGGTTGATGTTTTGTTTTGATGTGCAGTTTGATTTAACGGGAATTAAAGGAAATTAAAATTCAATACCTCCACTAAGCGTTTCATTTTTATTGACAGGGCTCTGAGATTAGAAAATCACATTTATTGGATTTCAATTGAGATTTTTTAAAAAATTTTTACTGTGTTTCTTCTTTGAAGTAGGCAGGACCCTGTTTTGGAAAAACAGCGCATCATTTACTCCCATATACAGGATCCGGCCGTGTCTGAATCACAATCTGATAACAGTTGTTGGGTTGTTTGTGTAAAGTACGACACACACACACACACACACAGTCCTGTGTTGGGGGATAAATGCATCTCATGCACTCTGAGTTCTCGTGGTCTCGCTGTCCCCAATCATACTATGTGTATCTTCCTGCTGACAGGGAGGGGGCAAAGGATGAAATTCCTTTAACATGTGCTTTCTGCCCCCCCTCTCCCCCCTGGACCTCCTGTTTGGACAGTGTGGAGCTCTAATGTGTATTAAAAGCTTCTCTTTACACCATATTATGATCACAAACACGCTTAAGATGCTTTTGACTTTTCACAAGCTTCTACCACGTCTTGATGTATAATAATAAACATCTAAAGTGATTTAGAAAAGCGGTAAAGATGGGGAGCCAATATTTCAGGGGCTTTAAATCGCTTTCTCATATTGTTGTTTTTTACACCCTTGTTTAGGACTCAATTTATCAAACATGACATTTAACCGCTTTGATTATTTGTTGATTGATTATTTAACCACAGCTGTCCCCCCATTGTGACATCTTAAGAGTTCACTGTCAAGTGTAATCACGATTTAGATCTCCCAGAACGTTTATCTCATGCCTTCCTGACTTGATCTCACACAGTAATAGCGCCTTCTAGTGGCATTAGACAGTTAACGCTCGTGCACTTTCACATCCTCCAACTACAGATGAATCTGATACACTTAAAATGTGGTGAGAAAAGCCTTAAGACCGCAATAAAGCATCGCGCTGCAGATTATAAGAATGTGTTAAGGGGGAACAGAAGTTTGATCTTTCGACATAAATAAGTAAATTGATGTAACTCCACTGTACATGGTCAGGTGTTTGTTTTTTCAAATTTGACATGTTTGCAACTCCAAGCATGTAAATAATGACGCACTATGTGTAATCCCAGTCGTAGTGCCTCCTACTAGTAAGTGGACGTTAAGATCCTCATAATGCTTTTTGTGGAATGCTGTGTCACAAAAAACAAAAAGCTCAAGTAAAGACACATACACACATATCTTAATAATTCTCTAAGGAGCACGTTTTCAAGCCAACCTGAAGGGTTTTTTTGCCAGTTCCAGACTTTACCGAACTTAACTTTAACTCCTCCTATGCAATTGTTTCAAAGAGCTCAGTAAAGCCATAAGGCCTCGATGATTTGTAAATGTATGTATGTAAAAGTTGAGCTTTCATGGAACTCCATGCTTGTGTTGTCATTTGGTTTGCCATCATACATCTGTTTTAACTTGACTGTAGTTGGTCAAAACGTCCCAAACTTGACATGCTGGACCTCGGCATGCTAATATCAACTCATGGTCATAGCGCCACCTACTGACAGCCAAGCAGCTCTACAATTTCCGCAGTCCAAAAACTGAACTCCCCACAAAAAAAGACTTCTCTGATCTAAATATGTGCAAAGTAAGATGTTTTGAGAGCAAAAATTGAATGAAAATAATTCTGAAACGCTTGAATGTAGAGTTTTCAGTAACAGTACATTGAATTGTTTGTTTGTTTGGTGTGTAATGTAAAGCAATTCAATGCAACCTGAAGTATATTAGAAATCAAGCTGCACCTATTGCTGTTGTAGATTCCAGATTGTACTTTATGAACTCAACTTTGGCGTTAAATTTGTTTCTCTCTAAAAAGATGTCTGTCTTTTTCCACACGGAAATATACATTCTGTTTTTTCTCCTCAACTCCTTCCGCTGCGAGTCCCTAAGCGGTGATTGTCAGAGCCACCTGCACAAACAACCCATTGGTTGTGATAACTGCATTTTCTTTGGCACTCTGTAATGATACAAACATTCACTGTTTTATAGATATTTACAGGCGTACATTTCTAATTGCATTCGGAGCTTTAGTCGACGCTTAAGGCCTTGCAAAATGGCCTGATGGTCACAGAAATTATTTTGTGCTTCAACCAGAGTCCTGCCAGCACCCTCGTTGTGTGCAGAGGTGCGAGGGGCCCGATCGATGCTGCTTGCAGCGTAATGTTTGCTTGTGTTTACTTCACAGATTTACAGACACAAGGAGGGAAAAGTCATTCAGGGAAAGTGCATTAATCAGCTGAGAAGAAAATGCAATGATGTGGGAGAGAGGAGGAGGTGAGTACGGAGGGTGGGAGGAAGGGAGGAGTGACGGCGATGGGTTGGGGTGGGTGGGGGGGGTTGTTGTTGATTGATTCTCATACAAGAGTGGTATTGCAGACAGATCTCCATACCAGACCACAGGGTGCTGTGAGATCTGTGTGTCTCGCTGTGAGGGGCTTTCTAGAACTGCCACAGACTTTTTCTGTCTTCCTCCTCGTCTCCTGTCCTATTGTGAATCTATGTAAATCTCTTACTGTCGTTTTTTTATTCTTTCAGTTTCTAAAAAAAAGAAAAAGAAAAAAAATGTATGCTTTAAACTTGGTTTGAGTCTGAAATATCGAGGACGGTCCAGGTGAATATGGTCAGCATCAGTTTGCAGCACACTGAAGAGCCTCAGCACGCCTGGAATTAAATTGTTTAAACTGACCGGTGGAGGAGCTTTTGCGTGACATATTTTAAAGGTGAGTGCTTTTGTTTCCTTTAAATATATTTATTTTGTGACGTAACACATATTTCCTATTATTATACACTTTATTATTGTGCGTGTGTATGTATGTATGTATTTATATAAATGTAATGGTGAAATTTACTAACAAATTATCAAATTCAGTAGAATGGTTTCAATATGAAGACGATCAAAACATTTTACAATTTCTATCTTTTTGAAAATATGTATATTCCCATTTCAACAGACTAGATGTTTTCATCTGTAATTTTAAATAACCACATTAAAAAGCAAAAAAAAATTGTACAAGATATAAAACATAATTTAGCTATATTAACTTTAATATTATTTTAGTGAAACGTTTTTAGGGGGAAATCTGGTCAAAATTAGCTGGACATGTTGACGTTAACAGGGTTAGTAGATACTGGGCCAAATCTGAGCAAAATGGCGATCAACAAGTGTGAAATGAAAGGAGCATGCTGTGATGGCCTGGTGGAGACGCTCCCCGTGCCATTCTGTTACATGCAGACTCATTGCAGACTCTCTGCTCATCTCAACTCTCCTCCTAATCCGTCTTCGCCAAACCACGTGTCACTCAAAAACATCGACAGATCTGAATGTATATAACGACATTGTTTGTCTCCTGTGATTATCTCCTATACTGTTTTAAAAAAAACATGTTTACGCTAAATGTATTTCTTTGTTGTGCTAACCTGATTAAGTGTGGTTACATTTGCAATTGTAACCCAGTTCCCCCCAAAAATAGATTTCTCCTTCCTCCTCCACAACCAGCGAGATCTCACCTCCGAAGCCTGAGACCCCGTCGCCCTGATGTCCTCGCTTGTAGCCCCGGAAAAGCTCCCCTCCGACACCATGGGCCCCAAGGAGGTTAGTGCGTAGCTTACAAAGGCAGTGGAATAATGGCATGCAATTCATGCTGATAGAAAAAACAAAAACAAATTAACGACACTAAGCTTCTTAATTATGTTAATTTCTCTCTTACTTTCTTCAGCCCTGAAAACGCTGGGTGGGGAAAATGACTGCAATAGTAGCGAAAGCCACATTTTCTTTACCCTAAAATGGATTGAATGCCGTCTTATGTAAAATCTACAGTCTTAACTGCTCGTAGGACTGCATGTAACGCCTGATGCATAAAGAGTTGATAGCTGCTGTCTGACATGACATGAGAGAACAGTGCAGTGGTGATGCTTTGATCACTAAAAGAGACTTCAAATTGCCCTTTTGAATTGGATTGATTCTGAACCACTCAATGTCTCTAGGTGGAGCTGACCCTGGTGAAGGAACAGAACGGGGTTCAGTTCACCTCGAGCGCCATCGTGGCTCCGGCCCCGACTCAGATTAACTCCAGCGGGGAGGAGGAGAGGGAGACCTGGGGGAAGAAAATCGACTTCCTCCTGTCTGTGATCGGATTTGCCGTGGACCTCGCCAACGTCTGGAGATTTCCCTACCTGTGCTATAAAAATGGAGGAGGTGAGATGGGATAAAGGGGCGCAGTTGATGAAGAGAGCGCCCGTCGATGGGTTCATGCACTTAACTCACATTCATTCACAGACTATTTGCACATGTATTCAGATCGAAGTTTGTGTGAGTGTTCCTTGTTTCTTTGGTTTCTGTTTGAGGTTTTTTTCCCCCTTTTACAGAGATCAAAATAGGGGAAAAAACACCACAGCTGCTCTGAATAGATTAGCTCTAACAATCACTGCCACTAATTATGGCTGTTTAACATAGAGCTGCCATTACGTTGAGGAGCTATAAATAATACTGCAGCCCTAGTCCAAGCTTATATCTCCCCCGAATCTGGCATGCTGTCACACTTGTATCTTTTTCAAGGGAAAGGACAGTTTTATTTGAGCAACTAAACCCTAATATTTTTCTCTTTATTATTACCTGTTGCATGTTATGCTTTTCATTTCTGCCAGCATATTTGAGGGGGAGAGAGAGAGACGTTGTGTTTGGTGGTCGGCACCGAGGGGCCTGAACACAAGGAATTTTTTTTAATTTTAATAGGTTAATGAGTTTTAATAGCCGCCATATTTCCTACTTTAACTGCACTGACATTTGATCCTTCTGTGTGTGTGTGTGTGTGTGTGCGTGCGTGCGCGCGTGCGTAGGTGCGTTCCTCGTGCCATACCTGTTCTTCATGGTGATAGCAGGCATGCCTCTCTTCTACATGGAGCTGGCTCTGGGACAGTATAACAGAGAGGGGGCAGCAGGAGTCTGGAAGATCTGTCCCATATTTAAAGGTAGGAAATGGTCACATGACGCATAAATAGCTATAAAGACAGACGCATTCCCACACTGGCAGATTCCCACACTGGCAACACAAGCAAGTGCTCGAACAGGGATGCTTTCACATGTATTCTAAATATCCGTCATGCTATTCACATGCCCGTGTGTCTGATAACAGACTTTTTAACATTTGCACGTGTTTCTGTCTGCTGGTCTGCCCACCTGCCTGTCTGCCCACCTGCCTGTCTGTCCACCTGCCATTCCCCTTTGTCTCCTCGTCTGTGGCGTAGAGCTGGGCGACAGGCATTGTTTATCCTCCACAGAACATCAGGTTCTGTTGGCACTCAGATGGAAAGCAAATGAAAATTGGGCTTTTAGACTCTTGTCCTGATTGTCCAAATCCTTCTGTCAAACAGTGGCGAGGGGTACTTATCCACACGTCGATAAGCAAAGCGCAGTTCGGGAGAAAGCCACCCGAACGTGCACTAATGGAAAAACAAACATTTAGACCAATTGCTTGTGAGCAAACTCATTGGTTGGAAATAAAATAACACGCTTTGCTTGGTTCAACTTTATATTCTCTACACACAGTCTGCAGATTGTGATGCGAGTGTATTTGTTCTTTCTCCTAAGGTGCATTTTTAACATCGCCATATGAATTTAAAGATACAACAGATATTGAGCCTCAAACGCCATAGTTGCACAAATACCAGCTGTTGCTCCACTGTCTTTGTGTGTGTGTGTGTGTGTGTGTGTGTGCGCGCCTCCTGAACTTGTGCCGTCTGGGAACACGCTGAGCAGGTTGACGTTCTAATCACACGTTTCAGTCTCTCTCTTTCTCTCAGCAGGGGGATGATGATAATTATTCAAATGTACACATACACGTTCCCGTATTGACAGTAATTATTCTGATCAACAAGCTGGTTTCCTCTCAGGATCAATGCATTTGAAAAAAATGCCAAAGAAAGGCCGACTAAGCGGGAGAGAGGGAGGGATGGCTTGGCCTCATGTGGCGCTAATAAGGGGCATCGCTCCCTGGACAAATATCACATCCACATCACAGGGGGAATCAATAAGGCACACCGTCGGTCATGCCACTTGGCAAGAGATAACAATTACATTTCGCCTTGGAAGAGGACATTGTTTCAGATGTATAGAAAGGGTAGATGTGTTGATAATTAAAGGCATGAAGAGGCAATCTTCAGAAGCCGCTGTGCTTCCTGTGAGACCGCGGGCCGTGTTTCATAGGCTGCTGTCGTCATACTGAGTGAGAAACGGCTCGCGGCGTGCGCTCTGGTGGTGTAATCTGTCAGGATCTAGTCGGTGTTAATTATGAACCGTATGTGGAAGATAGTACTGTTTCTGCTCCTTATGACCAAATACTATAACATCATAATTTCATTAGTTTAAAAACATTCCTGCAATAAAGTGATAATCTAAAAGTTTTCTTTTTTTATAAACGGCACTACGGCTTTTTGAGGTCAAACATTGGTGAGTTAGCCTACGACACACACAGCTGTTGTGTTTGCAGGATTATGACCCGGGTGTCTGTGCTGAAATAAGTGAGATTCAAAAACATACCTGTTAGGATTAGCACTGTCACTGTTTACTGTGGGGTGCATGATAAAAGCATCCAGTATGCTAAACGTGTGTGTTGCATGCAAGTGTGAAAAGGTGGCCAACATCCAAGGAAACATAACGTTTTGTTTCCCGGAGCAAGACAATTAACATGTATTAGAACACGGCAGGAATCCTCTCGTGTATGTATGAAGCTATTTACTGCAGCTGATCAAGCTTTTGGCATTTATAACTTATTCACATGCAGTAAGGTAGTCGCAGGGGTTGGAGTGTCCAGTTTCCAGTAAATGGGACAAGTAGCCGACCTCCAAATGTTTGCAAGAACAGTAAGAGCACTGTTGCCATGGCAGTGGCATGAAGGATGGTCAATGGTGCTGATTCATGTATTGAACACAGTCTCTCCTCTTCCAATCAATACATCTCTGTCTTTGATGCCTATAAATGTGATTCATTTGTGTGCCCCCAACAGGTGTAGGATTTACAGTGATCCTCATTTCCCTCTACGTCGGTTTCTACTATAATGTCATCATCTCCTGGGCGCTGTTCTACCTCTTCTCCTCGTTTACTAGCGAGCTGCCGTGGGTCCATTGCAACAATACTTGGAACAGTCCTAACTGCTCCGACTGGGCTGACAACAGCTCAATCGGTGACATTTACAAGGCAACCCCTGCTCAGGAGTACTTTGAGTAAGTCGGGCTGAACTCGGGCTGTAATGTTTATTGATTCATATTTTTGGGGATGTATTTTTTTCTTATTCAAGAAAACACAATTACACAGATGAAAAGTCAGTTTGCAGCGCCGTCCACTCTTCAAAGAACCGAGCAGCTAATTGTGAATGTGAGATGTGGCAGAGACCAAAAAGAAGATTAGGACTGATGTATGGACATCAGAATGTGTGTATTTGTCCAAACGCTTCGGCTTTATATTTCCAATGCACGATGTGCACAGGAAACTACCACAATCTCACAATAGCTGCAACCACATGTGTGTGCTTTATAGGGCGAAGAAAGTGTGGCGGCCAAAAGATAAAACTGAATAGACTTGTAATGTCTTAGAATACCAACTTATGAGTAATCATAAATAAAAGACACTAAATAATCCAAAGTACAACAGTTTTCCTCAGAATGGATCTAAAGTTTGGATGCATTTAAATTAAGCCGAGACCGAAGTTCTAAAAGCGAACAGATGTCTCCGCCAACAGGGGGGGTGATCTATCTCCTGACAGTTTGTGACATGTGATCCAGGCTGGTTGAAATAGCAGTGTGCTGGTGCCGTTTACGCAGAACCACCGGCAGACAATTTTACCACATCAGTCCAACAGTGTTAAACATCCCAATCGGTTCGTCTGAAATGACCCGGCTCACATACTCAGCAATGTTCTGTATTCCAGGTGAAACATCAACAACACGTTACCTTTTGTTGCCAGTGCAGTTTTTCTATTCGTCTGTCACGATCTTTGAGACATTTAACTTTACTAAGTTCCAACATTTTCAAGCAACAGACGCTTACATGTCTCTGGTCACCAATGAAGCTGCAGGTACAGAGCTAGATTGCTTTGTAGGCCTGCTGTATATCAACGACTGAACACTCTCTTTCCCTAGACGAGGGGTGCTCCACATTCAGGACAGTAATGGAATTGATGATCTGGGCCGACCACGTTGGCAGTTGACTTCCTGTCTAGCCGTGGTGATTGTTCTGCTCTACTTTAGTCTCTGGAAGGGAGTCAAGACTTCTGGCAAGGTAGGAATTTTTACAACCCCCATGTTTCTTGTATGTGAAACCCATGAAAGTATTGTTTTATCTTAAAAATATTTGAATTTTTGATACCAGAGCAAAGCAAATACGTTTTCCATAGCAGCAAAACACATTTTAGCAACTCCCCAAAAAGGCTTGTTAAAAAGCTTATAATCCATGTGTAGTGCAGCCTACAGTGTATTCTTCACCACTTTGTTTCTTATAAGCCTTTTCCGAAGGAATCCTATAGTGAAAGTTTTTCATGCTCTCTAAGCTGGTGGAAAAAGGTATTGAGACGCTTTACTTTCAGTTCAGTTTCCTTTCGCATAATATTCCTTATTGAGAGTAGTAGCCTTTCTTTCAGGTGGCTTGAATAGGTGCTGCGGCCCTCATCGACAACAGTAACCTACTTGTCTTTGCTCTCGTGCTGTTACTCTTCTTTGTTTAATTCAAGTCTAGTTTAGTTTTAGTTATTTAGTTTATTTTAGTTCAAACTGGGAAGCATGCAGACGGCCGCCTGGTGCAGGTGGTGTAATACTCTGATTACCTCAATAGAGCCCTTCTCAAAACATCTCTTTAAAGCAGGTTTTAACAAATAAGAAAACAAATCTCTGTGGCTGTTTTAGAACGGTAATAACCTTGTCCAGTCATTTCATCTGGCCCAAATATAATGATTGGATGGTCTAGCTGTGTCTGTATGCCGACGTGCCTTCAGTCTGCCCGTGCACTGAACGCTCATCATCGGAGTCCTGCTAGCGTGACAGTGTTCTGCGCGTGTGTGTGTGTGTGTGTGTGTGCGTGTGTGTGTGTGTGTGCGTGCAACCCGTTCAGGTCGTGTGGATCACGGCCACAATGCCCTACGTGGTCCTGACTGTGCTTCTGCTCCGTGGAGTCACCCTGCCTGGAGCCATTGATGGCATTAAGGCCTACCTCTCTGTGGACTTCCTCAAACTCTGTGACGCCAAGGTGAGTCGCAACTGTATTTTTTTTTTTTTTTACAACTGCAAACATAATGTTGTAACTTCACTGTTTAAGGATGGCCAGCAGCAATGAGTGAGTGCCTGGAAGCAAAGGCAATATTGACTTTATTTTTAATACTATCTGACTGTGTTTCATTATCACAATAAAGATGGGATAAGAAAGAATAACTTGATAAATAAACAAAATAAATGAATGAGATTGTGACAATTGTGAGTATGACAATATATGTAATTGGGGAACACACAAAGTTCTTTAATTAGGGCGGTTGCAGGGTTCGATTGCCAGCTCTTTCAGTCCACATGTCAATATACTGAACCACAAATTGCTCCTATGGGTGTGAATCACTGTTTGAAGACCAGAAAGGCCTGATATATATATATATATATATATATATATATATATAAGTCCATTTCCCATTGATTACCATTGCAACGTTGGTTTACAATATAAAGTGCTGTTAGAAAAAATGGAGAAAATACTTGTTTGTTTCCTATATCTAATACGTTCCTCATCTGTGAAAGCTGCTATCACAACACCAAAGAGCTTGATAAGTATGTATGCAGGACTAAAGGACTCAGTTATGCAGAATGAGAGCGAAAGCGAGAAGAGGGACAGAGAGATGCATGGCAGCAATTGGGGAATTAGATTAGATAGATTCATGAAGCAGTAATTTGCAAAATTACCCCCCGTATTCACGCGCGTCTTTCATCTACTGCTGTTGAATGAGTTTCCTGCAATTATCCCTAATAATGGCTTTTTTCCCTCTCCTGTGCCTTTTGTCTGACGCTTCACACAAGTGCGCTTGTTCTGTTGCTCCCCAGGTCTGGATCGAGGCAGCAACACAGATCTGTTTCTCTCTGGGAGTGGGGTTTGGTGTGCTAATCGCCTTTTCCAGCTACAACAAATTCAGCAACAACTGTTACAGGTACAAACACACGCGGCAAAGAATGAGGGGGGGGGTTACACAGGGACAGACAGGGGACTGGGAGTTGCTTAACACACAAACACAAACACACACACGACCCATAAGCAGGTGAATTACAATAACCTTTGAAGCTCCTTGAAACCCACTATGTCTCTTTGACACCACGCTGGGCCACGGACAGCCGGAACAACAATCAAAACCGTCGCACTCTTTGAAAATCAGCAGGTTGTATCTCTGTCTGTTTTTTTATTTGTCTGTTTCTGATAACTGATTCCTCCATAAGCCAAACGCAAAACCACCGTAAACATATTTGGCCAATATGTCTGAATTTAAAAATGAAGGACGGCTTTGCACATTATCTGCAGACTAGATCTTAGACTCCTCGCGTCCCTTTCACACATTCTTACACACTAAGTCCTTAGTATTCTTTCCTTAATTGAGGTAAGTTAAAGTCCAAACAGACAGCAGGCAGACACACATAATAGGCAAATCATGGACCATCTTACTAATCCATTCATTCATTCATTACAAAATCCTCCTGTACTGTTGTTTTATTTCACCTCTTATTATTTTATTTATATATCCAGAGACGCGATCATCACAAGCTCCATCAACTCCTTAACCAGCTTCTTCTCCGGCTTCGTGGTCTTCTCCTTCCTTGGGTACATGTCCCACAAGCACAATGTCGCCCTGGACAAAGTTGCCAGAGACGGTACGGTATTATTTTTCCTACTTTTGACAAAGCTTTGATGTTCCAAATGCCTAGTTTGTTTGTGTTTTTTGCCCTTTTCTACCTCCCCATGCTTGAATTTGTTCCGTAGGTGCTGGTTTGGTGTTTGTCATTTACCCAGAAGCGATTGCGACGTTGCCTGGATCATCCGTGTGGGCTGTTATCTTCTTCATCATGCTGTTGACTCTTGGAATTGACAGTGCTGTAAGTATAAAACCCCTCAGAAGTCATTCCTGGAAATTCGACTAGGCTTAAAATCATCCTTAACTAGTCTGTTTCATTTTGAACTCAATAACGCAAAATGCCCGAACTGTTGGGATCCACTTATATTAGGCATCATCCCTCATGAATACATCCATGTGCTACATCTACAGTGACCCGCTGACCTTGTGCTTTAATCCAATTCCTCACTATCTTCTGTTGTAGATGGGCGGGATGGAATCGGTGATCACGGGTCTAATTGACGAGTTCAAATGCCTCCACAAGCACAGAGAGCTGTTCACCCTCTTCATTGTTGTCTCCACGTTTCTCATATCCCTCTTCTGTGTTACAAATGTACGTATTCCACGGAGCAGTCTTACTCTTTCCCACAAACATTTTGTCATTTGCATCAACTGTATCATCAGATACGTCTTCCCGTATTATCCGTTGAGCTTAATTTAAAAGCACCATGATCGTACACTTGTCTCCCCAGGGCGGGATGTATGTGTTCACTCTGCTGGATCACTTTGCGGCAGGAACATCGATTCTCTTTGGAGTGCTTATTGAAGCCATCGGCATCGCATGGTTCTATGGTGAGAGAGATGGACAGCAGAAAAGAGGAATGAAAACCCGATGAATTATGTTTTCATGACCGACAAAGCTGATGCCATATCAAGGGTTTGATAAGGAATCATTTCTTATAGCTGTGCTGTGCCACAATAGTTGCATTAGACGTACAGCGGCTGCAGCTAAAGGGCCTATTCCTTCTAGTGGTTTGGGCATCTTCATTCTCTCTAAAAGTACAAGGACACTGAAGCTGTGCTGCTCATTAGAGCTCAGTGAGGTCGAGTTGACGGCCTTTCGAACACCGTTGATGCTGCACATGTTTTAAGTCAGCAGTGAGATAACGCACCACATAAAGTAAACTGCAGCTGGGGAACACTTGTGGTGGGTGGCAAGTAGGGGTGACCTCAAGTCAATCGCTCTCTTTGTGACAATCTTTACAATGCTATATTTTTTATGTTTCAATCTTCCAATACACAAAATCTCTAAATGACTGTTTGTCTTTGCATACGATACAGAGCTTGGGGATTATTATCAAGCACTCTAGCCGTACAACACATAAGAAAGACTTAACTTGTATAGTAAAAACAGCCTCCACTTGTTACAGCACAACCACATAATGCAGCAGGCACAGAATATTAACAAAAAAACATGAAAAGGTCAGGGAAGAAGGTTTCCCTGACCTTCCGTATGGGGTTTCTTGTCTCATGTCTACTGAAACTGGACTGTAGAGGGATCCACGGAGGGATAAATCCTAACTACGCCCCCAGGTGGGGTCAGCATATTGCACCACTTTGGTGGGTCCTGACCTTGGCAAGCCAGATAAATCAAGCCTACGGCTTGGCGGATCTTTTTTCCCCCCATCTTCATAACTGCTGAGAGGAACCTTTGACCTCTGGCCACTGTGGTCTTTTGTTCCGCTGTCCCCTGGATAAATACATTGAGCTGTGCTGAATACCTGGCAGTGTGTCTGGACATATTCCTTTTCAGTGAGAGATGCCTTCCAGGCATGAATAAAAAAATAAAATAAAAAAAAGTAGAGCCAGGTGAGCTGGAAAAAAAAGAAGCTGTGATGAAGCAAAAATTGCAGTGGCTTATTAAAAATGACTCCACAATGATACTTTAGTCACCTACTGTCTTTACATTGTTTAGAGATTCTCAATACATGTCGTTCAAATGTATCAAAGTATCTCCATATATTCCAGGAGTGGACCGATTCAGTGACGACATTGAAGAAATGATCGGCCAGCGCCCCGGCTTGTACTGGAGGCTGTGCTGGAAGTTTGTCAGCCCGTGTTTCCTGCTGGTGAGTCTGTGCTTTCGTACCTCACCTTTTTGTTTAGAGTGACTGGTGAATGCAGGTGTGATACAATGCTTGTGTTGGAATATTACAGTATTAAAGAGGACAGACAATTAACAGGAAATATTTTGAACCAATGCCGCCTCTGAGCTTTTTTGCATTTAAATCCTTTTCCTCCATAGTTTATGGTGGTGGTGAGCTTCGCCACGTTTAACCCCCCGAACTACGGCACCTATTCCTTTCCTCCGTGGGCTAACATGGTTGGATGGTGTCTGGCCATTTCCTCAATGTCCATGGTGCCTCTCTACGCCATCTACAAACTCTGCATTCTGCCTGGAAAGTTTTGCGATGTGAGTCGACTCTTAACTTAAATGGAAATGATCAAGTGTTCTTTTAGAATGTCGAACTTTAAGACTATTTAAATGTATCCACCTTTCTCCTTAAACAGAGACTGGCTTATGCCATCACCCCAGAGACGGAGCACCATTTAGTAGACAACGGGGAGGTTCGGCAGTTTACAGTAAGTGCAGACATTTTAATTTTTATTGAATCCCCGAAATTGTTTATTGCTGTGGTCAGCTGTAACCTTTTGACATTTGGATCAATATTTATCAATGATGTTAGATGTTCTCCCTATTGAAGGAGGTAGTAGATTAATGCATTGTTTAATTTCATGGACATATTTTATTTTCCCCACAGCTACAACACTGGTTGGTGGTCTGAGAGAGAGAGAGAGAGAGAGAGAGAGAGAGAGAGAGAGAGAGAGAGAGAGAGAGAGAGAGAGAGAGAGAGAGAGAGAGAGAGAGAGAGAGAGAGACTGTACACTGGGTGGATGAAAGAATGAATGCACAGCAAAGGTCTGAAGAAAAATGAAGAGAACAGAAACTGCTATTTCGATGTATCACAATGGTGGTTGTGGGGGAGGGTGCAATCGAAACGTGCAGACAAAAAAATCCCCATAGACATTGTAGTGTGCTTTAACTTAGTTTTGAAGTGGTGGAACTGTGCATTGATCCTCTCCACCGTTGTGTTGGCGCTGGTGAATGGGATTCAGTTAAACGCGTAACATGGTGTTCAGGCGGCTTCTTCTCAAAAACAGTATAAATATTTTTCTTTTGGTCGTGCGTATAGATTTCCCACAGATGGACTCAACATCTGGAATAGTTTATTAGATTACTTTTTGGAAATAAAATAGTTTTTATTAGTCAGACATGAACGCTACAGTCATAGGTTTCACTGAATCCCAGTCCATGTCTTGTTTATTCTATTATATGTACTTGCTCTTACAAAAGACTGTTATAGTAAATATAATTGTGACAGACCTAAGAAGAAAACGCCTACTTTTGTTTACATCAAAAGACATCGTCTGAGTTACCTACAACTACTATGACACAACACTACCTGGGCTTTTTCACATCTCGTCTTAACGAAAAATGACTTATTAGTTACAAGGTAATAGTATTAGGATGTTTAAAAAGAAAAGTAATTTTCTCTTACGGTGTTCCTGCTATGGCTCACGCCGGATAAACCAACTAAAAGCACAAGCTGACCAGCAAAGCAGTTGGGAAGTATTACCAAGTGTTGACTTATTTTCCTTCCATCCCATTGGCGGATATATATTCTAAATATCCTGAATTGGTTCTAAAAAAACAAGGTTCATTAAGTGAACGAGCAACTTCAAAAAAAGGATTACTGACACGATGATAAAAACATCCTCAGCTGCACTGCTGATTTAGTCAACCAAAGACTAAAACGATGTCAATTCAATAGACCCCTTGATTGTTATACCAGGTTCACCGGCATCATTTGTAAGTTGGTGCCAATGCACTTTTCATTTTAGTTAATTTAACCTTAATTGTGTATTATTATACCCACATAGTTTAGGGTGGTGATTAACAAACGTCACAAATCCAGAAAGCGTAATGCTTTAAATATACCGTTTACAATACAGTTTAAGGCTCCTTTTTATTGAATTGCCAATTAATAGTGGGTAGTGTAAATATATAGTCATGTAAGTGATATATCTGTGTAAGTAAATGTAATGTAGAGGGGCTTGTATCGTATTGTTGTGTATAACATAGAATAATGAGACCATGCACATATACACATAAACCCGTATATATTGTGTATACTTGTGATACATGTAACACACTAAAGGGTGAATTCAATGGTAAGCCTGTACTGTGGCTTGTGGTGTTTCTGACTGTAGGACTTTGTTTTGTACTGTCAAATAAAGTAGAATTAATGGAATTTTTACTTTTAAAATGTCCCTCTCTGCTTTGCCCTTTTCTTCAATCATTGTTAGGATTAAATAACAATTATAGGTGCCAGAGAAAAAAAGCCACAAATGTGTGCACCCTCTGGAGAAATATTTTAGAGATGGGAAATTGGTGGATTGGGTTAATTGAAGCCCTGGTATAGAAATTGAATTTGCTGATCAATATAATGATGCCTCTCACGGTGAAGTTGACCTAATATCACACGTTACTTTGCACTGATATATTCTCTTTGTCAAACTAACCGCTGCATGCTCTTGATTTATGGATTGTATTTCACAATGACACATTCAGTGTATTACGGAGAATACGCCATTCCGATGCGAGGAATCAAAGCAGAGGAGTCTTTAAGGTGACCGACAGCTTCTACATTCACCTCATAAGCATGACAGTACCTCAGCAAAGTGTGGAATTAAAGGCAGTGACCGCTATCGTACAATCGCCATGTCCTCAATAACCCATAAGAAAAACAAAATGAATTGTGTTCACCTGTCAAACTTCCTTTCTCATAACTGCAGTTGGCTCAAGCTATAGCCAGTGTTTGGTATTTCTCTTCCGGGGTAGTGGAGACACACAGCCGACTCCTGGAAGTCGATCCGATCCTTATGTTTGTGGATCCATCAAAGTTTTGAGTAATAAAAGCACTGTTCGGGATATCATATTTTATTTCTATGAAATGCTCCACTGTGGCCCTTTAATGTTGTTCACACTTTCTCTATCCAAATATTGTGTCCACATTCCAAAATGAGCCACCAAATAGATAAATATGCACGTCATCAAGATATATACAGTTGTGGTCAAACGTTTACATACACTTGTAAAGAACATAATGTCATGGCTCTCTTGAGTTTACAGTTATTTCTACAAGTCAGATTTTTCTCTGATAGAGTGATTGGAACAGATACTCATTCGTCACAAAAAACATTCATGAAGTTTTGTTTTTTTATGACTTTGACCACAACGGTCTAGGCAGTGATATTTCAGTTAAAAATTTCAGTTTTAAGCTTTTTCCAGTTTGACAGCATGACTCTGGATCCAAAGTGCTCATTTCAGTAACCAGGGAGTCGAGGACAATCTGCACAGACAGAGGACCATAAATTCTTAGCAGACACAATGTGGAGATTTTTACTATTTAATGTATTGAAAATATTGAAACCCCCTCGGTTCCATTGGTCCTCACTGACGGTGGGAAAAGGGAATTATTATATAATTTGCTCAGGCTCCTATTATAAATTGCAACAGTAAACCAGGTAATGTCTCCCATATACCGTTGACCATCAGTCATTCTTTTTATTTATTAGATCACATGGAAGGTGATTTAGTGAATCTAAATATGTGTTTTCAAATGTCACCTCTCTTCTATTTGCTGACCCTGAATCAAGGCTCAGACAAATGGCAAGCAAAGACAATCGCAAAGCAATTTTGACCATACGAGGATCAGGTTTAAACGGTGCAATTTTCACAACCAGAAAACGACAGCAATCATGTTTAATTTCATGCCTTGCAACAAACGGTGAAATCAAAAGGATATAAACAAGGATCAGGGTGGTGAACTTCAGCATATGATTTGGGGATTGATTCAACACATGCGAAGTTTCCATTTAAATTTAGTCTCATTTTTAGTTACTACTTTTGGAAAATTGGAATAAGAACATTCTGATTGTGTTTGCATGCTAATATTCTTAGTTCAGCATGAAGTCATTCTAGAACTAAGTTAAGTGCTATTCTACTTTTGCAGGAGAAGGCTGTTAATCTAGAAAAGGTGGTATGGCATTCATATTTATTTCTAATCCACTCGTTTTTCTTTATCCTCTCATCCTCTTATTTACAAGCCCGTGAACACTACCACTTTGCGTCTGCTTCTGACACACCGGTACCCCCTTTAACTGTGTTTGAAAGGGGTTAAGTTAGGTTATCAGCTTTGTTTGGGCCTTTAGTTGAGATTGTTCTGGTCATAGCGATGGGCAATGCAATGGATTATGTCAAAGTTTCCTCACATATTTAACCGTTGCCAGTTTAATGTTGTGTTCCTGCTAACAATATAACATTGTTTCAATATTCTGTTGAGAAACAATGTATCCGCTCCACTCACCTGATAAACAATTGTCTTGATCTAACAAGAAATAAAGTAGCACCATCTTGTGGTTTCAAGAGAAAGTTACAACAAAGACCTTGATGTTTACAGTTGAACAGAGCTGTTGTTGGGTCACAACAAGACGGACAAATATTGTACAATATCCTAATTGTATGTTCTACTTCTACACTCACTGCTGCTTCTGATGAAAGTGGGGGTGAAAGTAAAAATAGGTTTTGGTGAATGACCCTGACAAAAATAGACAGAAGTTAACATGGTTTGTTTCGACAACTAAACTAATATCTGGAATATTTTCAGTATGGAAATTAACAATAAATACCCAAATATTCCACATCTGCATATTTTGAATACATCTGGCTGTAAATGGATGCGACAGGAAACGTGGCTCTTGACAATCATGTGCAATAGAGTACACTTGTTGTTATGCAACACCATTATGGTACACTGTCCTGACAAACATGTTTTTATCCCACTTTCGCGATGTCACTGCCGGGATTCCAATTGGTCTCTTGATGCCCAATTAAACCTGCTCACGTTGCTGCTGGAGAGTTTTGAAACGTCTCAGTGCAACTTTCTCTTTTTCTCCAACGACCTCTCGGTGCATCAGTAAATGCGCATTTGAAAGAAAAATAAAAGTATTCTCTTCTAATCCCTTAATGATTGACCGCTCGTTGATTTGCGCATTCGTCGAGGTCCCTGGTAACCGGTCGAGGGAAGTGCGGCGTGTTCCCATAGATACATCCCAACAGATGCGCTCCCGCGATGCCCAGCCTACACCGAGGGGGGCCGCAGGGCTCCAATTGGCTTCCAGCCGCCGCTGGGTGCGTATAGCGGTGCCTGCCCCCCCCCCCCCCCCCCCCCCCGTGGGGAAGTGATTATCTGCCAGATATTTGGATAAATTAAAAGAATATCCCCGCGCGCGCGGGTTGTTTTTTAATGAGTAAATTTCCACAAAAACACGACATGTTGCACTGAGAGTTTGGAGTGGTCAAACGTCGGATGTCTCCGGAGAGAGGCGCCGCCGCCCAACCCCCCCTCATCTTTAAAATTTGGGGCGGGGATGCGCGACACCAATGTTATATGCAATGGCGCATTGGGCTTTTTGTCTCCCCACGGGGGACACCCCAAGGGAAGTTGAAGTGAACAAAAACCTCTCCGCCCGCACCGGCGCCCGTTCTGTTTTTAAAAGAAAAAAAAACGCACAACAACGATGAGCTCGGCGAAGCCAAACTTTCTGTCACAGCCGATCGTGAAGAACGTTTTCATGTACCGAAACGGCGACCCTTACTACGATGCGCGCCGGATCGTGGTCAACCAAAAGAGGGTGGCCAACTTCGACACCCTGCTGCGAGAGGTGACCGGCGGGATACAAGCGCCGTTCGGGGCGGTGAGAAACATCTACACGCCGAGAGGAGGTCACAAGGTGGACTGCTTGGAGAGCCTCCAGAGCGGGGAGCAGTACGTCGCGGCGGGCAGGGAGCGATTCAAAAGGCTGGAGTAAGTTTTTCTATTTTTTTCTACTATTTTTTGTTGTTGTTGAATGAATCACAGTGTCGTGCATGTGCAAATAAGATGAAGTAATGAATACAGGTGCTTTGCGTAGACTGCGTCCCACTTGGAGACTGAATGGAAAAGCAGGACTCAACAGTTTTACTGCTGTGCTGAGTCATGAGCTCATGAGGCAGAGGAGGTCAACACTCCAGAGAAGCGCCCTGCTGTGGCCCAGCGGACTTAGACTGCAGATAAGGAGATTTGTGCAGTGAGTTATTCATAGGGTGCAGTGGTGAGGTAGCTAAGTGAGAAGGTATTCTGTGTGTACTGTGGCACCAGGCCCGTGAAAGCGTGTGGGTTTTCTATACACAATCTGTTGCAGAACTGTATTTATAGTGCACTTAGTCATCAGCGTGTCGTTCCTCGTGTCGCACACCGCGTGGTTGCGTGAATACAAGGAAAGCGTGTGGAAAATCACATCTCAAGAGGTGATTGTTTAACAAATGGTTCATCAACTATACCGCTTCCTTACAGCTTTGTGTTGGTTCTTATTGCGCACAATGAGGAGCTATATCACTTTTACCAAAAGTGGGATAAACACATGTTTGTTACCATAATTGTTTTGCATACCAACAGGGAGATCTGAACTCAATGTCCTAAGATGATGAATATTTCATACAATAAATAAATACAATTTCTATCCCTGTTTAATTCAATATAAAGCAGAAGCAAAAAAATCATGTTTTTTTAGTTCCACAGTTCCCTGTTTTTAACTTAAACGTTTTGTCAAAGTTACCTACAGATTGGTTCAAGAAGGAAGAAGATGATGCAAACTCCACTGCAGGTAAGGTCGGAAGTGCTCTTCAATTAAGCTTTACTTTAAGATTATCAGAAAGTACTGCATGCATAAGCCAGTACAATGAAGTCCTTTTGGGACGTAGTAAACTGTCTAAAGTTGTGAAGCAGATGTAGCTAATAGCAGCACTGTGTTTCTGTGGGCGTTTGCTTTTAAGACTTTAAGACAGTAGGTGAATTCATCCGGATCAAATTTGAGTCACCATTTAGGAACGGCCTCCTGTTGAAGTGTAATAAGAGGGAAGCATAGTAACAGAAACGTGTTTGTTAATACCTGGAAATCTCAATATTTAGAATAATGTAAATGATCTGCAGAAATGTTTACATTACATTCGCTCATCAATCACTGCCTACATGCACTCCTCACGTTCCACTCAAACTGGGGATCATTTCAACATTTAAATAAGTCTTTGCATGACATAACACCCCCCTCTCCTCATTTCCCCCCCCAAAAAGTTCCAGTAGCCTTACATAATCCAACTTTAAATAAAAACTGCCACTAACTGCAAGATACATGTGGATCTCTCCCAGTATAGTGGTGATATAGAAAGATCATTTGAGCAAGGTGTTATGTTTAGCATCGCTCTCTGTTGTTCAATGTGAATAATCACTTTGTTGTTGTCTCAATGGCCATGCATTATTGATTTATGGACCATGGTCATCCCTCCTCAGCCAGAACAAGAGCAGCTAAAAACTGGTTCACAGGTGTATTGTTTCTATTTTGAAAGTCAACTGCAGCTCCTCCAAATTATTATCTTTCTAATATAAATAATACAATTGAATACATTTTTAATGCTCATTTTATTCCACCTCATTGAAACGGGTCACTGTAAGGGTACTCTGCAAATGATTTTTTTTCTTAGACTCTGCCCCCGTATAGCATTAGCTGTATGTGGTGGTGCTCTAGAGTTTGTTGCTGTTGTTGTGATTACGTGGCGAGCATAAAAAGAGCCAAATTCATTAATGAGGGGCCCTGCCTGCCCCCACTTAACCTGCCCGATTAACTCATTTCCAGCTAGATCATTGTAAAGTTTGGTCATTGTCCTTTTTTAATTTTGAAACATTAGAGGAAGGGCTCATAAGGTCACTGATGCTCCAGATGCATTATTCTCTATGTGAGTCGTTTTGACCCCCAGCTTGTAAAATTAGTCCCTGTTATGAGGACATTCATCCTTTTTAAGGCACATATAAGATCTTCTATTGTTCTTACGTTCCCTTTTACCTTGAAATGTCCCTCTTTACTGCTCTATGTTTGATTAGATGGGTTTGAGAGGACCCACTTCAACAGGTGCTCAAACCTGCTGGTGGCAATAAATAGATTGACGATGGTAGATTACTGAAGTGTTTAAGTGAGAGGAGAATCAAAGTGACTTCCACATGGCAGCATGTAGAACCTGCTGTAGATGTGTAAAAGTGTATGAGCAGCTTTGTTGTTACGTGTTACTCTGCCTTGGTTTCCTGTTAAAGCTCACTGAGCACTAACGAAAAGCTTTTTGTTAAACACAATGTGAGTCAGTCAGTCATCTTCAATACTGCTTATTCTCAGAGGGTCAATCCCAGGCAACAACGGGGCGAGAGACCAGGTAAACCCTGGACTGGTAAACACATTGTGTAAATAGAAACAAAAACAAACTGACGTGACATTTCCTTCCTGCTGTGCACAGATATTAAGTGCTTATGGGATTCACTGTCTATCGAAAAATATATCTAGTACATCTAATGGCTCCCTGAAGAGTAATCCTCGCCTCACCTTGCTTGTTTTCTGTTTGTTCCTGGAGTGGTTACTATGAGGGTTATTATAGTCTCTGGGGTTTGTTGTTCTCACACAGGTGGCACCCTTAAAATTAAATGAAGCATTTAACAAGCTTTGTCACAAGAACCCCACTTAGCAATTATGCACTTTATGACCTTATGCCCTGTTACTGGTAGGCCTCTGACTGCAGCCCACACCTTTTTCATGAAGTATTAGTTACTGAATTATACTTCTTCACCTCTGTGTTCTGTGTACAATTGCTTCTTTCTTTGCTCTCAGGGATGAAAGCTTTTAATGTCACACAATCTCGTTTCTTGGTGACGTTTGTCTCTCACAAGATAAAGAGAGAAAAAAACCCATGTCCAGCAGTTAGAGAAGGCTGTCTTAAATGGTCAGATGCTAGTCCCTAAAGCAAAAGGCTCCATAGTTTGTACCGAGTTCTCCTCCACACTGATCTGCCAATGAGCTTTTGAATCAGTCTTAATGGTAAATGATCTGTGAGCGGCTTTATGTTTGACATATTTCACTATTTCCAGGCCAAACCACTGCCACCAAATCGTATTATCGTGTCAGCTCGATTTCTGAAACCCATCAAGGAGCCGTGTACAATTTTGTGAGTTAAATTTCCAGACTTTTACAACTTACCATTTTATAGTGCTTTGATTTTGCCTTCTGCGTAATCAGATACCTTATGTTTGAAACCCTGATTTAACATGTGTACATATGTATATTCCCTCTGCTTAGTGTGGTATCAAATGGTGACGTCTTGAATCCTGCCATGAGGCTGTTAATCCACCAGAGGATGCTCAGCCAGTTTGAAAGAATATTGGAGCTGATCACAGAGAAGATGGGATTGAGGGTCTTTGGGGGTGTCAGAAGGTACGCTTTCAGCTCAAAAATACTTGCACGTTTTATATGGACTATATTTTGTCCCGACGTTACGATATATATACAGTATATATTTTTTTATATATAGGCCCATGAAAAAAGTAAGAACTCGCTAGTTGTCAAATACCAAAATAATATCTGCCTACCCTGAAAAGAGAACCGTCTCCATGATGCCCATGTAATGATTATAGTTTTCGGCCACAAATGTGACATTGTGGGGTTTCTGACATTGTTTTTCTTTCCCAGTCTCTACACCTACGAAGGCCATCAGGTTTCTGATGGGAATCAACTGGAGTGCGGTCAGCTGTATGTTGCTGTGGGAAGAGAAAGGTTTAAAAAGCTGCCCTACAGTGATCTTCTCTTCACAAAACCCAGAGGGACAAGGAGAGTCAATGGGTGAGCAATGCAGGAGAAGAGAACCTGCAGTTTGACGCAGTTATTTTGCACCTCAATCCTATTGTTAAAAAAAGCAACTTGAAGCTGCCGTGTGGAGGTTGGCGTCATCTATCAGTGACAACCTCTTTCTCTATGTCATACATGTAAGAGCCCCACAGTAGCCTAAGCGAAAAAAACGAAAGAATGTTTTTCATATATAGATATATATCACACAGCAGTTTTGACCCTCAAACTTTTAATTTCAAGATAATTTCGTCTACTTGTGTAACTAATAAAAATTGTTTTGTTCACAGAATGAAAGCTTACTCTCTGCCGCCTATCTACAGATTCTCCAAGCAAAATGGAAATGTAAGAAGTGCCTATCACATCATTTTTTTTATCATTCTATAGTTTCAAATTGTAAATTAGAAATTCAACATTTTCCGAGCTTGTGTACCTGACGTTGCACATACCAACCAGCTTGCATATAGACGCAGGGATGTGCATACATAAACTTTCCCTCAAGTCGTCATCAACTGAACTAGACTTGTTTTTTTCTGCAGAGCAAGTCTACGGTCAGATGCGTTGACAGTGGTGATAGCGAGTCTAAGGCCGCTCCTCTAAGCCACACCGGCAGCAAGGATCGTCTATCCTCCATCGTCAGAGAGATCTCTCAGGCCAGGCTCCTGTCCATCAGGAAGAGGAGCAGTGGACAAAGCATCTCTAACAATGGTAATGCCGAAACAAATGGAAGGTATGAAAAGGTGAACCCATGTAAATGCAATGACATGTCTTTGCACAACAACCCCAAGGCCAATATTAGAAGTTACTGTAGTTCCTATAATTATATTTCTATGTCACTGCGTTGGCCACAAAAAAACATTTTGGCTCTATTGGTCCGCCTGCCTGGTTCATTGTTGTGATTGCAATCTCTCTGGAACCCCTGAATTTCATCAATGTCTGTGTTAACTTGCTGGTGTCTGTTGCGACTTCCAGTGCTGGTCCACTGAACATGATGTAGTTTGTCTCTGGTGCCGGAAGGGGGAGAGACCATAGCGGCAGTGCAGCAGCTAGAGGTACGAAGAAAAACCCTAAAAAAAAGGTCCACTAAAGGAATGGATGCTCCAGGTAAAAAAAAAAGAAACTGAGTGTGCAAAGGACAGATTAAAGTCTAAAAAAGACCAAGATAAACCGTGATCACCATTGTTGTAGCTTGTTGACAAACGGGGCTTATAATCAGTTAAGGTAATAGGATATCAAGATGATGTCATGCCTTGAAAATCTTATGTAACCTGCTACAATCCTAAATGCCCACATAGTGGCGCTGTTGCACTGCTTAAAAAAAGACTTCCCTCCGTACATACAGATATTTTCCCTGAAGGCTACATACATGTAGATATAAACATTGTGGGGATGTTCAGCAGACTGCTGCTTACATTGTTGTCACTCCGACTGCAGCATGAACCACCATTACGTCGTCTCTGGCATGTTTCATGTTCAGAATCCTTTCTGTAGTTCAAGGGATGGCATTTTGCATCAAGAGAGGGAGCAGTGTGTGTGTATGTGTGTGTGCGTGTGGGTGCTTGTCTTTGTGATCATTTGAAACCTGTAATGTCACCCTAAAAAATCCTCCACGTATCAAATTGTGTGTTATGCCATTTTGCGTGTAGAGAAAACATGTTGAAGTTTTGGTTCACTGCGGTGACATTGAGCAGAGATTAAATTAACAGGCATCAGAAAAGAATGGCTTGGAGGTCATATCATGCTCTCATGAAACATTAACTGTTTGACTTGTAAGTATTTTTTTCTAATGTGTCATATTTACAACAAACAATACTGCTTTATTTGTCAGGCTCAGCGACTAGGCGTAGTCCATGTGAGTTGGTGGTTGGTTTGTCTCTGTCCATGGTGCTGAAATTAGTTTTTTGTAAGAAGTTTTCTTCTCTGTCAAGGCAAACCAACCACAAAAACTATAGCTGCGCATTCGGCTTCTGAAAAGGAAAAAAAAAGCTGAAATCAAAGCTGCCCATTGGCTTACCAAAGCCTAATCATTTATGAGTCCATTAACTATTACATTTAGCATTGTGTTTATGCTCAGGGGGGATATGAACACTCACAACAGCGCAGGAGGGGTTTCCGGTGTCCCTGTAGGAAATGCTGCCCTGGCTGGGTATCAGGTAAACACATCCCACTCTGCCGCCAAAACATGTCCGACTGGTAGAGCCTGTGGAAAGAACACAGCGTGGAGCCCACACTTCACGCCTCCCGTGTGCTGCAAGCATGGAATGAAAACAAAAGATTATGATGATGTAATGGTTCGGAAGAAGCAAATGATAGAGGGAGAAGGAAAAAGACAAAAGAGACGCAGGGACCACGGAGCTGGAGATTCTCTCTCTGTTCCTCACACTGACTGTGACAAAGAGGTTATTTTTTGTGGCGGTGCCCATTATTCATTATCGGCTGTGGGGAGCCTGCCTGAGGATAACTCCAGCAGATTCTGTCTGGTGTGTTGTAAAGTGTCTGACTTTCGTTTGCTTCATTAGAGTGAAAGCGGAGGTGAGTAACAGCAAAGACAAGAGGGGCGATGGGGGGCGGGGGTCTGATAACTCATGCAGCAAAGGTCACAGGAAGGATCTGAACTATAACAAAGACAATTGCGCCAAGATACTTCACCAGCGAGATGCATTGGCTGACCTACGCTTCACCCGACGTAGTTATATTTTATGGCATTTTAAATTAAGGAATAATGTGTCTCATTTAGTCAGTAATCAAAAACACATTTATGCTCATGTTTCATATAACCAGTCAGCAGTTATACAGCCAACCTCAAAACAGAAATAAGATGTTTATCAGTGTCCTCTTTCTTAAAAGGTCTCTGTGATCATTTCAGTCAATGTTTCCCCTGAGAAGAGAGGAGGGAGGATGAGAAGCAGCAGCAATGGGAAAACAGAGAAGAATAAAAAATGTAAGAAAATGGATTTGTTTTGGCAGGGAAGCGGAGCTGGAATGCAAAGTGAAGGGAGTATAAAAGAGAAAGGTTAAAGAAGAGGGAATAAAGAGTTGAGATGTTGAAGGGGGGAGGACATAATGACGAGGGAAAACATAAAAGAACAAAAAGAGTACAGGTTGAATGAAATAATGAATAGCCTAAGATGCTCGAGCATAAACAGTGAGTGGAGGACAAAACGGTAATGGATGGGTGGGGTCAGAATAATTGCCTTTCATTTCGATAATCATTCCATTTAGAGTCATCAAGGCAGAATTGTACTTCTCCCTGCCGCTTGCTGGGACTAAATTGCTGCTCTGAAAAATCAACAAAGGGGCCTTGCACTTTAAGAATGATGTATAGACAGAACGATACGGACATGAGGGGAGCTAAAGGAAAGTGGAAAAACAAAGGTGTAGATGAGAGGGGTCTACTTGTTATCTGGACATGGGTTGTATTCGCCGCCGTGTACACATTAGGAAGGGGGCTTTCTGTGTGTGTCCTTGATCGAGTTCACTCTGAGCATGATCGGTATCTGCCACCGTTAGACAATTGCAATTTACATGGCAAGACATGTCCGATAATTCATGCTGTGGATGTATAATATTAAGGCGCTGCTTTAAAACACATAACATTGCGGTAATGATAAATTGGATATGGTGAATGAGTTGAGTATCTTGAGTACCTTTGAAAACACACTATGGAGCCTAAAACCCAGCAAGGGTAAAAACTAGTGATGCCAGGAGAACAAAACTAGTTAAGTATGTTTTGGAAAAAGGATTGGGGTTAAAAGGCTGCAAAATGTAAATTAAACAAAATACGACCGCCAAATTACTCAATGTTTACTGTTGAGTCCCGTGTTAGTTTCACCCGTCCATCAATCCTTAACCGTTGCAGACTTTGTAACTTTATGAATTGCATCAACTGACATCCTAATTTGTCATAACTTCTTCAGCCACTAAAGGTCTCTTCCTAAAAATAAATATAAGTACTGTTCGCAATAACTCGCCTGTAAAACACACCCAAGGGTTCTTTTCTCTGAAGGGAGATCATTTTGAAAATAACAAAAGATCCTCCTTCCTTAATTTAATGTAATTATCTTTTGAAATGTCAATTGCGAAGTGTCAATATCTCAGTAAACCTAATCTTGCCTTTTGTTTGTTTGTTTCTTTTAAGTCAAACTGTGACTGTGATAACTCTACCCAAGTTGCATTGAAACATCATGAGGCCATTTTTCTTGAAGAGACTGCAATTTGAAGTGAAGAAAGTTAAGGGGTATTTTTCAGAATAGCTATTTTCCATAAACTCTAAATGGAAATATTCTCAGTATCATTTTAATGTGAATGTAGATTGGCGCATATTTGAGCACGTCTGTTATCTTACTCCTTCCTTTACACACGCACAAGCCATGAAGCCAGATCAACTTCCTGCCTCTGGTGTCATAAAATGTGATGCTGCCTTGGGGAATTAACTCTGTTAGCAATGCGCATCTATAATTCCTGTCAGAGTGAAATAAGGTTCAAAACAGCATTAGGAGGCAGGAGAAATATACATAAAGAGGCTGTGTGTCTAAAATCGTGTGTCTCTGTCAAAAAAAATAGGCTCAGCAGCAAAGTATGAGAGCAACATTTAATGGATGCTTCTTTCCCCTGCCAAGTTCCTAAAGTGTGGTGTGAGCACTGGGTTAAAAGTGCTCATGTGTACGTTACGTGCTGTTGTTTCAGACAACATGGCTATCCTTTCCAACTTCCTCAATCATTCTTCTCATTTCATCTCTCCCTTTCTATTCCCCTCAAAAAGGTTCTTTGTGACCGTTTGATGCAGGATTACTGGATTAAAGTGCAGGGTAGTTGTACTAATCTGCCACTTAATCTGCTAACAAGTGTTTCAGATGTGACATACAACACGGATGGCTGTGACACGCAAATTAGAGAGTCGGGGTAACGTGTGACACAAAATCCTAATCTCTCTCACGTGTAATCCGGCCTCCTTTGCGTGTTTCAGAAATTCCGTTGAGGTTTGCTAGACACATCTTAAGAAACTGGGATGGGAACATAAGCATTTGCAGGATTTGTATCAGCCTAAGAAAGTGCAGCAGCGTTGACATTCAACCTAAATGACAAGTGGAGATCTTAAGTTTGCATCATTTGTTGGAGCTGGGCTCAGGAAGTTGGGGTGTTGCAAGGGCAACGTGTTTTTTTAACAGAGGCGGTACAGATCCACAAGCATGAGCTGCGGGGAAACATCAAAGTCCAGTTTAGGGGCGACCAAAGGGAGAGTCCCCAGGGTTATCAGGGCATGAACCTTGCTCACCCGAGCAATCATCACCTCAGCAGCACCACTCCCAAACGCCCTGAAGCAACTGGATGTAGAACCAGCAAGGGCAGCTTCTCCACCCGGACCAAACGCTCTCTTTTCATTTTTATATGTACCAGGGTGCATCCAAAATCAAGTAGCAAAGTACTTCAACCACTTCCATTTCAGTTATGCTCGTCGAGAGTTCTCAATTATTTTGCATGGGGCCAGTTCAGTCTCAATAATTGCAGGTGCATGCAAAAAGACTGACAAATGCAAGCCAATCAGGGGTCGCCGTCATTGTCAACCAATCACATGAGCAGGCTTCTATCTAATCTAGCCAACAAATAAATCTGTAAATGGCTCCATGTCTTTCCAACACTGCCCTGTTAGGGAAACAGCCCCTGAAGACCCCTCTAAAATCCACTCTCTTTGGCTACAAACACGATGAGGTGAGGCTTGCATTTGAGCCGAGGGACTCACTGAACCAGTTTGACAAAACATCAAAGCCAAAGGAATTGCAGACAGCGATAAGCAACTGAGCAAACAATTATCCAACTGAAACAGCAGGAGATGTTGTTGGATCAAAGCCAGGCAGCCCAGGTGTTGTTGGGAAACAGCGGCCAAGATGCAGTCCAAAGCCACAATTAAGTATGAAATATCCAAGCAGTGAGCCAACAGCATTAAAGGAGAGGAGGCGGTAGGGGGGGAGGGTCTGCAGGGTGGTGTGAAGTCTAGCAGTGTTGCCTCACAGCAGGAGGGCCCCAGGTTCAGCTGCATGTCTGAAGTGGATGGATGACTTTAAATTGCCCATAAGTGTGAGTGGAATGGTTGTCTGTCTCTGTGTCTCCTGTCCAAAATAACATGCAGTCAAAAGTTGTTAAACTACATACATACATACATCGCTTTCCTTTGCGTTTTTTTACATTGCGTCACTGCAACACAGTCCTTTCGTGTTTATCCATTGACTGGAGTACACTTGCTGATGGACAATATTTCATAAATGCCGTTTAGAGTTGCTACCCATGTTGTTTTCCGCCCCCACCATAACTCAGCCATGTGCTAAATGTGTTAAATCAGCTGGGTGTAAATAAGCACTGTAAGCTGTGGTGAAATACAGGGAGTGTTGTGTGAAGCAACGTAGTTAAATCAAGTGGGTTTTTTTAACATTGCAGAGCTAATCTGCTGAAAGTAGAACCGGCTTGTGGAGGCCAGTTTAACAATGTGTTCCTGTCTTGGTTTATAGGCCCAAATACAGTATTTATTAAAACTAAGAACTACGACCGGTTCCGTTTCTCTTCCCCATCCCTCCCTGGCCATAAACCACACTCATTTTCAGTCGAGGATCACTGTATTCCAGTATTAATCATTCCGAAACGTGTCTGATCGGTTCCCTCGAGTCACACATCTCTTATTTAATGTTATTATCGAACTGGTTTTCAAATAGACAGTTTTATTACCTTGATTCTTCCGTTTCATAGTTGTACAGCAATGCACCAGTCAAAAGCTTTCTCCTTGAATTGAATGAGAAAATGTTTCCGAACTTTTGACTGGTACTGTAGGTCGGCTCAGGCACATTACTATTAGATTCAAATCGTTTAAACCCATTTTCTCCTCTATCTATCCTCCAAGAAAATGATTGATCCCCAGAGGAGGAATGTCACTGTTGTTAGCCTCGCAAAAGTGTAAGATGCACTCATAGAACTTCGAAATAATAAAATAAAACTAGTCAACTAGGACAATGGTCATGCAAAAACTTTTTATTAAAAGAAGTGGAATTAGTATGTATTGACATACAAAAATTCAGCTGGAGAGGTATGCAAAGCCTCCCTTAGTACACACTAATAAAAGGCCAGAGGTTAGGCTATAAACTACTACACACTCACAATGTATCATCATCATCATAGCTAATGGAGGACTAGTGTTTGGCTTGATAACATTCGGATGCCGTTTTTAGCAACTTTTTCAGCTCTCTCTGAGCTGAAAAGCCTCGCTGATATGGTTAGAAGTGTCTCCAGACTAAGAAGAGCCCTATTTAGCTCAATTGGCTTCCCAGAAGTGACAAAGCAATGAGAACATCTTGGCATGTTGAAAATGACAGCACCTTTTGGTGAAACTGGGATATTCATTCGCAGAACATTAACCAAAAACGATTCTTCGGCATGGTGACGTAGCAGCTATTAGAGCCATCTTGAACATCCTCGACGCACATTTGTGGTTTTCCTTTGCCATGAAAAAGAAAATGGATTGATGGCCTTGTCGGCTGCAGATATTCTGCGGCCACTCATCTCCAAATGTATTCCTGAAGTAGTAGAGAAGCTTTTAAACATGATACCAAACCCTGCAAGTCTCTGCTGCCCACTCCGACTTTGCAGTAGAGTACTGAAGCTTACAATGACGTGCTGCACATCAACATCTTGTGATTTACTGATGATTGACAACAATCACTTGTATCCTGCGTAATTGATTAAATAATGCACCTGTTTGCTTTTGCTGGGACCGTTTTCTGAATCACTCTATTGTTGACAGTGGTGCATATTGAGCGTTCATCTGATTCATGTTTTATTAATGAGGTTGACAAATAGAAGTCCTACATTTAGTATTTTTTGGATTAGTATTTACATGATGTTACCTACTGTGAACTGCACACTTTATTCCCATAGTGCGTTGGGTGATTAACACGGATGAAATACTGCACATTATATCTGTAGCTGTGGCAGAGAGATTTATTTAACTTTTTCTTTTCTTTTTTTTCACATGGAACCACTTCCCTAAAACTAAAATCTGCAGCAGTAAGGTATGTGTATATGTGTTAGTAAAGAGGGAGTTTTTTTTGAGTTTACTGTTACGTTCCAGCTCCCAACAGGGAGGGGAACATGACAACCTGCTGCTCGGGCCCAACAATGCCAGCAAACGGGGTGTGGAGTCGCGGTGTGAGAAACGGACTCAAACACAAAATACTGTATAAACGCTTTTATCTAAGCACGGTAAAATATACATAAACACACAATAACTTTCTGGGAAAAGGGGAGGGCTGGACGGACCAAAACAAAGAAATAAACAAAAGGTCCCCACCCCTAACCTGTACTAACCCCCCAATAGAAAATACAATCTCTACCTGGCACACGGTCAAGGCGCCCTAACCAAACGTACAGGTGGTGGACCGCCCAGGTCTAAACTGGTGTTTCTAGACATAAGTAAACCTACGGGTAATGTATACCCCGGGTAGCTCTAAATCTATCCCAACTCCCTGTGAACAAAAGAGGAAACAAATAATTAGTTGAAAGGACAAAAACAAACAATTGCTCCCTCCTGCTGCCACAAGTTAAGCTATTTCACACAAACTATCGAAATCTCCCCACACAGCGTACAAACTAAAGACCAAGTCACAGCATATGCAGCGAGAGAACTGGTCCAAAACTGGGCTTTTTAAAGAGCCCAGCCAGCTGCGACCACTGACGACGGGGTGGAGCTCCGGGTCCCAATCCTACCTGGAAAAGAAACAAACACACACACACACACAGACGAACTACAAGCAATCCCCGAATCACAATCATTATACAAACTCTGGGGACGTAACATTACTACTTGCTATTACTTCATCTTCCCCTGTCTTGCTGCAGCCCTGTGTAGTTATTACATTCCTCTGGAACAACATTTATTCAGCACGTTACCTCTCATGAGAGTGGCAGATGGAGCTGTTTCTATGAGTCATTTTATGCACTTACAGATGCATCCTTGCTTTGCCTCACGCTGATGGATGAGATCTAGCACTACTTGAGATGTGTGGGTTTCGCTCAGTCGAATATTGACAATAGTGTCTCAGGGAAAGAAGATATGTGTATGTGTGTCTTTGACAAACTATGAGAGAAAAAAAAGTGAAAAATATTCAGATTCACACACACACACACACACACCATAAAGTCATTTGCAACACCAAAACTTTAATCTACTGGATTTAATGAAGAGAAAGAAAGGGAGATTCTAAATACTGTGTTTAATTTGATTCAGCATTTTCATGAGCCTGTGCCTCATCCTTAAATCCTGTTAGGATGTTTAGAGTCGTTGCGTCTCATCCACCGCTTACACTCAATTGCTCGGCCCTCTCTGTTAATGGATGCGAGCAATTTCCATAAAATATTCTTAAAGAGGTCCGATATTATTACCATAACGTTTCATCTCCCAACATAGCCGAACTGCAATCAGTTTTGCATTTGAAATGCATTAAACATCTCGATAAACTCTTCTAATCTACAACCAAGTAATTTTTCTTAGTTAACTGGTACGAGTAGAGAGGGAAAATAATATTAAAGGCATTAATAACACAGTTATTTCCTCACACTTGCTGCTTATTTCTGATTGGAAATTTCCGTTGTATCCAGTGTTTCACAACAAGCGTGTAATTATGTTGTTTATCAAAGCGTAAAGTTGTATTCCGCTTCTGATATTAAGGGTTAATTATTTCCAGCCCTTTGATGCAGAGGCTTACACAAAAACTAAAAAGAAAAAAAAATGTGTTCACTCCAGCAAACCGACCTTGCTGAGCTGATTGCTTGAATAGAAATGAGCAAGTAGCCGTTGAATTGTGGAATGATGTCTTCATTAATCACAGAAAGTGACGGCATTACTCTGTGGTTGTTTAGGCTGTAAGTGATGACAGGTCAGTGCGACATTTGTTCTTGTAAGCAGACTGCTATAACGGCAACCATATATCTTTTTGGTGAAATCCACTCCCCAAATGTACTTATTCGGTCTTCATCTTCTCCATATTAAAAATAATTTATGAGGCCCATATTTTTTCTGTCCAATTATAATGAGTGCCTACTCTTAAATTGAAAGCCAGTGTCGTGGATAAACAGCAACACTGTTAGTGGGGACTTGAAAGTCCTCTTGTCATGTGTGTTGGCCTGCGGTTACATCTACCGTACTAGGGATTATTAGCACCATTACTGCAGTGGTGATAATTATAAAGACGATTAAAGCAATTCAAATGTGATTCTTCTAACTCCCATTAAGTGTTTTGTGTCTCTCACGCTTCCATTGTCCGGGGATGTTGTTTACTTGGCTGAGACGACCGCGGGTGTTTTTCTTCTCGTCCACCAGGTGTCAGTCTCGTGCCGTGTTTTGTTCATCGAAGACTGAAAACACAGCCGCAGTATAAACAGTATATATTTTCTATAACAAAGCTCTCTTATTTACTACCTACTCCGCCATCACCAACTGCCTCACAGACATAAAGACCAGGATGTGCGCCAATCCCCTGAAAATCTCAACAGCTACAAATCCTGATCGGACAAAACAAGTCCCACCACGACTACACTTTTTTGTGAAAGTACGCACATTTCTCTTTAGCTTCAGGCAAACAGTGTGCTTTGTAATAAAATGCTTTGATTTCTGTTGCCAGAAGACTTGGAATCAAAGAAAGATGATGGCAACACTGAGGACGAGACTTGTCAACACGAGCCAGCTGAGGATGTGGAAACACACACCACTGTACGTAATAATATATATATATATATATATATATATATATGTATATATATATGTATATATATATATATATATATGTATATATATATATATGTATATATATGTATATATATATATATATATATATATATATATATATATGTATATATATATATATATGTATATATATATATATATATATATATAATATAACATAGTACAAGAGCAACTGATGTCATCGTTCAAAACCTTCACCTCAAAGGTGTAAACCAGTTTTGACGCGTTACCCAAAGAATCATAATTGATATGCTCCTATTTTAATGACTTTTTCTAATGCTTTAGGTACAGAAATATTGTTAACTAATTCATTGTTCATTTTGGTCACTAATGTGTTACATTACAACATTACTTGTGGGCATTTTGATCCAATCCATCAAAAGGGTTTTGGAAAAACACATTGGCTCCTCTTGATTGTATTATAAATAATAGTGCCCTCTTTCTTTTAGGAAAGTGTTGTTCACAGGGAGAAGTGTAGTTACACTGTAAGTTAAAATATTTAGAGCCACAGTATAAATTGTTTCCATGGTATTTTTGCATTACAGATTCCTGCAGATGATGCTACAAAAGCCGCAGAGGAGAATGCTGAAATAGCGGCAGATAAAGAGGAGGATGTTGCTGTAAGCATCATAGAAGAAGAACCTTCCGCTACTAAAGATGAAAACCATGAGAATATTGGCAAAAAAGAGGAAGGGGAAGATAAGGACGAAAATACCGAGCAAAACGCAGAAAGATCCGGAGCAGCGACGGGATCGGAAGAGGTCGAGGATGAGGTCGAAAAACAAGTACAGGAGGTGGTTGCAAATGAGAGTAAGGAGGAGGTTAAATGTGAGGAGACGGGGTCCAGCAGTAGCAACAGTGATAAGATCCAGTATAGTGAAGAGAAAGACCACGGGGGCCATACGTCTGGTGAGGGCGAGAAGGATGAGCAAGACAGAAATACAGAAGAAGAGACACAAGATAAAGATAGTGAAAAGGGGGAGAAAAGCAGTGAGGACCAAGTAAATGATGAAGACAGTGGGAATGATCAGAAAGAGACAGGAAACAGCAGCGAGATGAGTCATTCAAATAACGAGACACAAGAGAACCACGGCGGCAGACACCAGCATGAAGATGTGAGCAAAACAGAAGAGGGAGCTACCAAGGAGTCAGAAGACGCGAAGAAGGAGGTGAACGGAGAGGTCAGTGGGGAAGATGATGAAGTGCTAAGTGGAGCAGAGCTGGACAATGAGGGGAATTCAGACCAAGATGCTGAAAGAAATGAAGAAAAATTGGTGGATTGTGATAAAGATAGTCAGGATAAAAACAGGAAATAAGGAATCAGAAAGAAATAGTTCCTGGATTAGAGGTGATGGAATTATTAAGGAACAGTATCTCTTACAATCCTAAAATAATGAGGGTGACAGAGCAAGGTAGAAGCAGGTTGCACAATGAGGCCATGAAGAGTCAGCACTGAAAAGTAAAGGGTCTCAAATGTCAAGCAAGCAGCCGAAGCTTTGCCAGCTTAATGATGGCAGGTAAGAAACAACCGTGAGATATTCAGGTACACATATCACACGCTTTTCCTCCAAATATCATTTCTGAAACAGATGGATTACATTACATTACAGGTCATTTAGCTCACGCTTTTATCCAAAAGAGACTTACATTGCATTTTTAATTCATGGCTTTTTTGCCCGGGGAGAAATTAGGGGTTAGGTGTCTTGCTCAGGGACACTTCAACATGGAGCAGTCGGGGCTCAAACCATCAACCTTGCAGTTCCTAGTGCACCCTCTCTACTCCATGCACCACCATCGACCCCTCCCTTAAAACAAGTTAAATGTCTGTGGTGAGTCATATGAATTATAATCATATAATGTTTAGTAAATATATATTTATAAGTAACAGGTATGAACACACTAGTTTGTTTTTTTGAGATTCTTATCTATATGTATAGGACATTTTGGTCTATTTCTCAAACAGTTGATATATATATATATATATATATATATATATATATATATATATATGTTTTTTTATGTACCATGTGCTATGTATAATATTGTAGAAATACTGTATGCATCTGAATGTTATTCCAAATCATGATCCTTCATTAGATTTTCATTACGTCTCAAGATCTCTGTTTGTTAAAATGTATCTCTTAACATCCATCACCTTTAAAGGATGCTTTAATAATACTTGCTGTCACTTCATTATAACCATATGTAATCAAATTTGTCAAAAAATAATAAATATGATACTTAGTGTCATACGATATACAATGTGTGTGAAATTCATCTTGTCTCAAGGCACTACAGTGTTTTTTAATGGTTTTTTCATAAGTACTTCTAATTACCTCCATTATTCATTATTATTAAACACTGGCTGCTTATCCAGCACAAACATAGACAGTGATGTGTGTTTGTTGCTAGGGCAACTCACCCTATACAGCATAAGGTTGTTACATAACAGGTTAGATGTAGATAAAGTGTGAATTGCATGACCGCACAACGTTTCTATAACAATTTTTGACGGTCCGATGACAGAAGATTCATATGATGTAGGAACCGCATCTTTCCATTGAAACAAGGTCGCATCAAGCTGCCACGAGCCCCCTCACACAGTGTGAACTGTGATCTAATTCAGTATATATACGATGGCCTCGCCGCCCTCTCATCTCTGCAGCTGCTCAAACTGGAACTCCGTCGATGTATTGGTGCGTCACTAACCCACCAGGGAGCAACACGGTTGAGATGGAAGGAGAGACACTGAGATGGCGAGGAGGAGAGGGAGGGCGTGCGAGTGAGTCATAGTGTCTTTCTGCTCAAATTTTCCCTTGCTTGTGTGTCATTGGGCACAGTGAGAGTAGCTACACAGGGGAATGGAGGCCTGGTGGGTTTCAAACACTCTTTATAACTTGTATGGTAACCTATTATAATTAGAAGAAATGCAGAATGCCGTCTTGCCCATGTGATATTCGTAGCATTGTTAGGTATGAAATCATTCCTGAAAATACGGACAATATTTATGATTCAGTCAGTCAGTAGTCAATAGAAATACATTATTGAGACGTTTTGACCTGCAGATATTTCAATTTTTATTGTGTTCTTTGAAAAATAGACATACTGTATACAGACATTAATATTTATGTATATTTGTTCTTTATTCAATCCAATCTTTATTCAATCCAATAAGTAGAGTGCATGTGTTTTATCTACTGGGATAATCCGTATTACATCATCAAGTGACACTTGAATGGTTGGATTAGGAGCAGACGATTCATTATGAATTTTAAATTGTAAAGTAAAACAACTTGGGTCAAAATAAGGATAAAACATTTACAACTCACAGCATGGAAGAACAAGTGATCACATTTCATGATATTTTATTAACCCTGTGACTTCACTGGAAGGTTTTTTTGATAACCGATTGTTTAACAGTTTTCTTTTTCTTCTTGTACTGGATGTTTTAAACTTGACAGTGATTGTGTGAATTTCTTGAACATGTCTTGATAATATGTAAATTGTTTTTCATAGTTAAAGCTACAAGTTTGAGTTGAATTTGAGATCAAATGTGTTGACGTACTAACATAGAATGGAGAGATAAATGAAAATAAGGACCATTTGCATGGACACATGATAGCCAGCATAGCAAAAGCTCATATAGCTTATATAATATATGTTTATGGAAGCAGTATATAAACATATATAATTTCACACAGTACGTATCTCGCATGGATTTCAAGAGGATGAACGGTTGGGAAAAACAGCACAGATGCACGGTAGCTTGATGGCACGTGGACGGTGACTATCCCAAAAAGATTCTGTTCCAACCAAGTACAGAGAAACGTAAAAGTACCGTATGTGTGCGCAATAAATTCAAAACAAACAAAGAATAGCAAACAACAAACATGGCAATTTAAAAAGGCAGGATCACAACATTTTAAAATATGTATTCAAATACATACGTAGATACAGTATAGTTTTGAAAAGCTGCAAAACATAGTTACACCTCATTGTGCTTTTGAGTAAAAGTGAGTGCAAAAAATAAAAACTGAAATGGAAAAAGGAAAAGATCCTTGACATAACTTCTGTTTCTCACATGGTAGTATGCAACCAGATGGATGGCTTTGATGATACATACATACTGTAAGCTGTTCAGCTTGCTGCATAATGTAGCTTCAGGTTCTGTTTGTGGGCACATGAAGGCAGTTAAGTGTTTCCCCCCCTCTTTGTTATGTAACATCATCTGTCACGTCGTTTGTCCGTCCTCCCTCATTCCGTCTTCAACTCAACACGCAGCACTTGCACATTTCTTTTTACCAACCGCTAACTGCAAAAATGTGCTTGCCTGAATGGACAGAATGTTGTTGGTATGATTGGATTTGTCAAAGGGAGAAAAGGAAACAAACACAGGAAAAACATTCAAAGATAAAAGGTAGAAGACAGATGAATGGCCCGTTTGTATTAGCGAGAAACTTATCTGCTTGACTATAATTTGGTTTTTAAGCATCAGACTTTGTTTTTCTGCACGTTACGTACGGTTCAGTGTATATTTCATCATGCTTTCTGGTCTATCGATGGGGTTTGACGATTCACTGAAGGAGACAAGGTCAGACACCTAACAAGACAAGAGAAATGTCAGTGGGAAGTCTGCCCTGAAGGTTCGAATCAGCGTTCATCTATAATCTGTTCTGATGACGTACTGTATAAAGCAAAGCAAGACTCTTCTCGGCTTATTGTTGCATGTAAACAAAGCTTAAAAGAAGAATTCAGCTACAGTAAAGCACATGTAGCCTACTAACGTTTGGGATGGACAGTTCTCAGTGGCGTAATTAGGTTGCAATGCACATAAGTTGAGTGTTCCGCACTCAGGAAATGTCCTCCTCTTATCTCCTTTTAGAGACTATAGGCAGAGAGATAATGTGTTCAGTGCTGCTTGTGATCCCTTTGTGGCAATGAGGGCCAATCCTCAATAACTTCAATCTGCCTCTCCTGCTCTACACGCCGTCCCACAGTAACACCATCCCCCTTTAGCAACATGCGAGTCCACTTGGAAGGAAAAGATCAACTTATGATGTTGTCGTTCAGCTGCTGTGTTCTATTGATTTGTTTCTGCGGTTTGTTTTTCTGGGAAGGGCTGAAGACCTGCGCGCGCTTTGTCGAATCACTATTATGCAACGCTTAAACATTTCTCAGCTCTATTAACTCTGCTCCTATACGACTCAAATAGTCCAAATGCCAAAACAACAAATAAAGATGATGAACCACTAATGTCAACGATGTAAGCTGACCTTTAAAACGAGAAAATGCACATCTGCACACACACACACACACACGTGTAGACTCGAGTCTGAACACTGAATCCATCATTTCACACGATTCTTCACTCTTTGCCTTCATTTGGTCGTCTGTCAGGTCTCTGACTTCGTGCTCCCTGGCTGTATGTTCTGGACTTTGGAAAGTGTGACGGGCACCTTTCCCTCCCCGGGAGTTGGTGCTTTCATTATGGGGGTACCTTGGACAGAAGCAGTACTGTTAAGTGGGATAAGCCATTTGATTACACAATACCATTAAGCAATTACACTTTCCCTTTCACTCGACGGTTTATGTTTCAGTATTCAATTCACGGGGGACAGCAGAGCGTGCCAAAGCTTACCAACTGTTGCATGCAGATCTGCCAACCTCTCCTTGAACTTCTGCTGCAGATACAGTTCCTCCTTGGAGTAGCTTTTGGCAAAGGCAGACAGCAGGAGACCCACAGCCATGGAGGTGCCTCCCACGCAGAACAACACTGCGCCAGTCAGCTTACAAACGTCCAATGCACGGTTGAAACTGACTGCGTGGCTGTTCAAGGAAAGGGCAATTGTTTTGAGCATTATTAAAAGGGTAAAGCTGTGACCCTAAGGAAGTCTAAAGTCTGCACTCAAAAGGTCACCTTATTTTTACCGCTAGCTGCAAATTATGTTATTGTAATACAACACTGTATGTGGATTCCACTCTGCACATATTGTCACAGTTCATGTTGAAAATACAGTGTTACGATACTTTGCCCTGTATTTTTCCTTTACAGTACCTGTCAACAAAAAGGAGATCATCTTCCCCAAATGCTTCTATCTTGACTGGAGTGGCATAACCCACCAAAACAACAATGAGTCCTGCAAACAATATCAGGGATCCGAACGCAAGACAGACCTGACAGGGAAAAAGAATAACTTTTGCAATTACACCGTGACGACCGAAATAACATTCAGGGAGATGATGATTTGTGTGTGTGAGTAAGAAGGTTAACCTCACCTTCCAGAGTAAAGAGCTCCACCTGCTAGGGGATCTCTGAATCTGAAAATCTTCATCACGCTCCCAGATAGAAGCTGTGCACTCCTCGTAAAACTGGAGAAAACATCAGAGAGGGTTATATTTTCCTTTGTAAACATTGAATAACCTGAAATCCACTAGCAATTCTAAAACCGTCAGAATAGAAAAAAAGTTGGATGATTACAGCACAAAATGAGAATGGGAAGATTAAGACTTTGTAAAGCAAGGCAAGGCAATTTTATTTGTTCAGCACATTTCAACAACAAGGCCATTCAAAGTGCTTCACATTCAAATTAAAACATCCAAACATAAAGCAAGAAGATTTACAAAAAGCAAAGAAAATGGATTGAAACATAAAGAAAAAACATCATTAAAATGGTCTAAAAATAGAATAAAACACAAGCATTGTGTGATAGAAGAAAATGTATAATATTTGTAATACTCACATGTGTGTGTGTGTGTGTGTGTGTGTGTGTGAGAGAGAGAGAGTGATATACCTGGTGTAAGTAGGAGCGGACTCCATACTGCTGGCAGTTCCCGTGGGGGTGAGCTTGTTCACCGTACTCGGACCTGCAGATCTCTGAACAAGAAGTCATCCTTCACATCTGCCTACCTGCTTGAGGACACACACACATGCATGACTGCACCCGGTGCTTTAAGAGGCCACCCACACAGTTTGTGGACAAACTCTCTGCCTTTACCAATGCCTAGCCTTGCAAACACAAACATGTAGTGTATTAATACATGAATGAACACAAACATGTACCCTGAAGAAAGTTATGCAACATTGTACTGAAAGCACGGGTTCCTTGGTACGTTGAGGTTGATTCGTGCATTCTCTTGGTCTGCTATAATGAGGTAAGCCATAAAATGTTGCCATGGTCCTCCTTTTTAAATAAAATAAAAACGATGAGGGCTGGAATGCACAGAGTTAACCTTCTTATTTTTTCACATTGTGTTTCATGCAACAATATAACACCGAAATCCTTTTTTGTGATGTGCATTGTTGTATCTTATCAGGTTTCACAGGCACTATAAAGGATATAATGTTCACAAGATAATTCAAGATAACAAGCGCAGTAGAAAATAATTATAATCACAATTGACATCAAGATAATTCAGGGAGTTTAACAAAATATTTTATTGAGCTGAATCAGGACTAAAACAGCGACCCCAGAAATACATTTATTTACAATATGTAATGCTACTTAAAGCCCCTATCATATACATAATAAATAAACAAAGAGACTGCTCCAAACCACAGGCTCGTTGTGATATGTTTATCTACCTTTGGGAAATGTAACATTTAATGAAGTAGCAGCGGTTACACAACTGATGAATAACATGAATGTTGTTGACTTGGGAATATGTTTGGTCTTACATCTGCATTCCTTTTCTATGCTAAAAAGTGTTTGTGACATTCACTGATGCAAGATATGCAGTAATAATAATCGAGGTCATACATGCGATTACACAGCGTGTGTGTGTGTTTAAACTGCGAATAAGAGTTATCCATTTCGGTTAATGAATCCATGGTAGACGTCCCCTAATGTCTTCCAGGTTGTTGCTTGCCTTCGACGGCTGACTTTAGACATTTACATGCATCTTGTGAGGATAAAGTGAAGTATTTATATTTTGTTTTATTCATATAGCCTCAAATTGCAAAGTACTCTTGAAAATCTGTAAAGCATATCATATTCTATGATAACACCCTTGATTTAGGATTGACCCATGTTATTTTGTGTTGGCTGGACATGAGATGTTAACGGTTCATAAATTTGTCTCACTTGCAGAAGTCGCCAGACACAACATGGCAGGTGTCACGATGGTCAGATAAAATAACATACGTTTGATGAGTGGAATGCTGCATCAAGAAAAGACAAAGTGTTCCCTGGTACCTTGTGTTCATTTCATCCTTAATTTAGCCTAATTTGTATCTACCAAGGACAGTCAGTAGATACTGATGCCATGAACTATCTTCCTACCCATGGTTTCATATTCAAGGTGGTTAAAATACAAATTGTGTAAATACAAATATGAAAAGATGAGAGATTGTTGAATTTCAACGACATTTAGTAACTGAGGCTTGATTTATCCCAATTTACACACTAAACCAGAGTAAACGTGTAATTAGGAGTTTCATAAAACATGCGTTTTTTGTCATAGTGTAATTTGCTCTAACATGTTTTTGAAACAACACAACATGTCTTCAGTGCACGTAGATTTACTCAGTGCCCTTGATCTTACGTTGTCCAGGACAACCTTCAAGCAGATACAGAAACACACGTGACCAAGGCCCCAACTGGCTTAGTTACAGATGAGGTTATTCCATCGACTTCATGCCATGGATGGAGTGTAATGTACCGGCTATGGCTGAATAAACACAACACTATCTTTTTTTTTTTTAATGGCTCAATCCCAAATTCAGCTCAGCATGAAGGTCGTGTCGATTCACAGTCTTATACTGGTTCCTCCTCTTGTTTAGGTGGGTTTGAAGCATGCAAACGAAACATTTCACGACCTACCTTGACCTACGGGCGGACTAGACTCTTGGAAATAAAATCGGAAAACATCGACACAAAATCTCAATGGCCAAATTCATAGAGAGACGGTGGTCTCATCGAGCGGTGAACCGGGAGCTGGCCGTGGTGCTGAACACCATGTTATTACCATCCAGCCGCCTCGGCCCCAGCAGGAAAACACACACACACACACACGTCATACGTGACGCCGGTCTGAAAACAGCCCCCACCCCCCACCTGCCTCCCCCCCTCTCCATGAGACACAAATAGAAACACAGCACGCGTTTCCATTCGACTTCGACAGGCGGACTTTGAGTCGAAGACTTAATCGCTTCGTCCGACGTGTTGCCCAAATTATTATAGTAATCTGTAAACATGTCACCCGCAGGTGTGCGCGCTCAGTGGAGTTGTATTTCATCCGGTAAGGACCGAAACGCCCCGCATCCTCCGATGTTTGTATAGAAAACAGGTAAAAGGTGACCGCACGAAGTTTAAAAGAACATGTTCTTCGACATTATTCCACGCAACAAAGCCACTTCCACGTGAGCTCGACGATGTCGTGCGGGAGGATGAAACCGAGGCTATTCAGGAAGTTTTATTTTCCGACACGTTATTTGCAAAATCATCGATCTATCTGAGGCGCTTTAGTGCTAGAAGTTTTTCTAAAAATGCCCATAAATCGTCATTTACCTGTCATTAACAGCTCGAGGTGTTGTCTCAGCTGGGTCCCATCACTCTACAGTCATCTCTCTCTCTCTCTCTCTCTCTCTCTCTCTCTCTCTCTCTCTCTCTCTCTCTCGTTGACGATTCAGATTTTCGAGCTGTCTTGCGCGCATGCGTCATCCAAGACGACGTATGATTCAACGGCGAATATAAATAACCAGGGAGGAAGGAGAACTAGCTGAACAGAAAAGGCATTCATTCAAGATTAAATATCTAGGCCTGGATGAATGAACGGATATGTATTGGATGGATGGATGTACAGGCCTATTGTCACTAAAATGATATGTAGCCCAGCTGGAAAACTAGGTTCACCACTAAGGCCACCAGAGGGCGCTGTACTACTGAGACAGCTAGCGAAATGTGACGAGGGAAACAGGAAGTGAAGTTCGTTCTTTTGCATGTGACTGTCCTGTGGAGCGGTGGATGTTTTGTGAGTTAATACATATTGAATGCCATCTCTGTACAAAACTATCTAAAATGTACGTAAAAACAGTGTATGGATCATTCAGAAAATTTATTGTTTGATGCTAAATCCACCAGGTTGTTTTGGTTCGTCTGATGTTTTCAGATGTTGTTCATGTGTTAAGCGTTCATGTGAGCGCTACGATGCTAATGACGCTCCTAACTTTTCAACATGCTATGCATTCTGTTATTATTTTAAGAGTTTGATTTCAGAAGTAACGGTGTGGTACTGTTTGTTTTCTTTCTTTTATTATATTGGAGGGTTACCACTGCAGTTATTTGTGTGCAGAAAATATTCCTTAAGTTTAATTGTGAAATGTTAAAAAAGGACAATCGAAATCAGAAATTCATTTGTACTCATAGAATTGAACACCTCCAAATTCTTTTAACACTGCTCTCTAACAAAAGAGTAGTCGAGAAATAAAGACCCCTAAATATAGTGTTCCGGTGTCACTCAATTTCACCCGCCTACAGATATATTATAATTGCAATTTTACATGTTTTATGCAAACTGTGTAACATTGTGTAGTTTGAAATGGCCAAATCATCTCTGATGTACAGAAAGAAACCATCCGTACACATTGTGAAATGAACGAATGCAGGACCAGCCCGAAAGATCTCTGAGGTTTCCACTAAGTGGCAGATAAAGTAAGTAAATCCTACTTGCACCTCTGAGACGTCGACCTTTATTGGTCTACAAGGGCTGTAAATGAAGAGAGTTTATTGGCAACACATGGACAACAGATCTATTCATCACATTTTAGATTCAGGAGGCCCTAAAGGTCTGGTAAAGTTCTTGTATTTTATAGACATTGTACCTTAACTAATTGCCACGATTTCAGTGGTCTGTATACATTTGATGTGTTGACTATGAACCACACACAAATTATAATGTGCGAAGGACTGGAGACCCTTCTAAGGGTGTATGTTTACCTTTTGTCTGATGTACCCGGTCAACGCAATGTCAATTAAAACACTGAAAAGCAGCCCCATATCAACCAGGGCACGGCTGTGTGACACAACAGTAGTAACTGTGTTTGTGAGAGCAGCTTTCAGGTCAAATTGAGTAATGGCAAGACAGTCGCATTTTCAAAACAAATGAGATGCGAACTATCTTTAAAAATAGCTGATTTAATCTCTGCTACATCGTACATAGACACGTGCGTGAGCAATCACATTGCACCCAATGTCCTTTTTTTAGGAAGAAAATGTTCTGTCATCTCCCTGGCTTCCTTTCTCACTCTGTGTACAAGCTGAGCATCTCTGAGCGGTGAGAGGAGGTTTCTATGGCGACGTGAAAAGGTCACCTTCAGCAAGTTCCCTCTGAGCGTGTGCAGAATGCCAGTCGGATAATTAGGCTTCCTGTAATGACTGATAACAGACCACACCTCATTAGAGACAGAGGGAGAGATTGGCTGATTAGGGGGGGGTGGGGGGGGGGGGGGGATTATTAGTCATTAAGCAGATGAACAACAGAACATTTTCACCAGAGGTATTCCACACTTTTAATAAAAAATCCAGTGCTTAATGCTTAATTCATACACAGTATGAAGTGATAACAAAAAGCAGAAAACAGCAGCAGTCAAGCAGACATGACTGCGCCAAGCCAGTAATCTGCTGTCCCACCCGACAGTCTGTGGGTGTGTCGCTGACCTGGTAGCTACTAACATGAAAGAAACAAGAGAGACACTGATCTGCTATAATGTCTTAATACCACGCAGGACAGTGCTATGGCTGCCGGTAGGTCATTTTGACCTTCATTAGCAGCAATGTAGCTACATTGTCACATGATACGTTTCTTCTGGACAGTGGGATGGCAAGAGCTGATTACAAAGGAAAAATAGGCAGCAATAACCCGCTTAGAACAGTACAAATTAGGATTATGATAAAGAAGTGTAGCCTTGCTTTCTACAAAAAAACACAGAGGAAATATGATTCTCAGCACTACTCTGGAAAGGGTCGAAGCCAATTTGTAGTCATTAGTTCTTCTCTTATTATGTGCTGTAGGCTACGTTTTTGAATGAACCAGGGTTGTGATTCCTTTAAGTGTGTTTGATTATGTGACTCTACCTTCCCCCATGACTCCCCCCCCCCTTTCCAACTAGAATAGAACAAAATACACCCTCTCCTTCAAAATACAAAAAATGTTCTGAAAAAAACATCTGTGTGGGGGGCAGATTCATGTATGTCCTTGTATACGTCTTCATGCAATTGTGAAATTACATTGATTCAAAATTCACATTGCTTGAATTAACATGCCGAATGTGGGGGTCTTTTTGGGCTCTGTACTTTTCAGATGTTGAAATTGGCAAGAAAGAAATAAAACCTTTTAGCTTCCAGGTCTAATTTTGTAGACAATAGTATTTAATCAAAGAGAACAGTGTTGGTTCTTTCTGTCATTGGTCAAATTGTGTCCCTGTTTGATTGTATAGTCTGTTGTTTAGATGCGTTCTCTGATAATTCAGTAGGTGCAGCATTGCGATGGTGGGGATCTTGAATGAAATAAACCATTTAAGCTCTTTCACACAGCACATCATTTCTATTTAACTACTATATGTTAAACACCAGCAATGGCGTCAGTAACATCTTTGAACTAACAAGGCTGACATCTACTGGGCATGTGGGCCAGTGCATCAACATACATAGATGCTGTTTAGATATGTTAACATTTTCTCTGCAGAGGTTGATTTTGGTAAAGTGAAGGACACATTTTAGAGGTTTTAGTTCAGGCGAGATCTCCAGAATTTTGGCATTTGGATCATTTTGTGTCAACCTGTGCCCTTTTCTTAAATTAACCCAAACTTCTTATTTTTACCATTAAAAAACAAATGACTAAGGGTGATTGCCAACACATTGGAATCGTTAGCGTGATTGACACCTCATGTGTATGTTCAATGTTATGTGCAACATCACAACATGCATTTGCGTTTAGTTTATTGTAGACCCTGTTAACTTACGACCTCCCTCAGAGTCAGATTTGGGTCTGTGGGGCTTTAATATTTATATTTTCCCTCATAATGATACATTAACTTATGTCACAAATGTTTGATTTAAGCATGTTAGCTTATTCTGGGTGTGTGCTGTTTGACAGTCATGTCATAACTCGTTGGCGTGACTTTAATGACTCAATTTGGCAAACGCACTTGTTCAAGGTAAGTTTGATAACCAACAATAACTGGAACTTTTGTCCTACGTTATAAGCTAGCACAATAGTTCTTTCATTTAAAAAAAAATGTACATGATTTATACGTGTTCACATTAAAATGGGAATGTCAATTAACAAATACATTTCTCAAATACTCTAAAAACTTTCTATCAAATTTGTACTCTGATTAAAGCATACACATATTGCGCTGTGTTCGATTAGCCCTCCCCAGCTCTCTAAATGTGATGCTAGATGGGAGGGAGGGACACTCGGTCCATCCATCTCAAGAACCTTAGCCTCGGTGTTGTTGTCCATTCTTCATCATATTGATTGCTCTGTCATTCTGCCGTACCAGGGCTGCAAGCTCGGACATTCCAACTCGGCCTTGTTGTATTTTACAAACTATTGACTGGAGGGGCCAAAAAAGGTTTTCTTTGATGGAAGGGATGTTTCTCTGTGGGACAAAGCTGTCAAATCTAAAGCATACAGACATTTAAGTGTGGCAATAGTTCTGCAGCCTCAATGACTGGTGGTACATTTGAGGAAAAACTCCCCAAAACCTTGATTAAATACTTTGGCAAACTGACAGAGGTTCCCTGTGGGGAAAGGAATTTGTTTAAATTCCTCTTCAGCCTTGTGATGTGGTATGATCAGAATAATGGAGACGCCATACCAAAAATCCCTTTTCCAGTGATAAGAAGACAATTGTCATTAAGTCAGAGTACCTTAAGCAAATAGAAGCCCTCTCTCCTTTGAATAACAACATGTACAAATTACAACCCTGCAAATTATATTGTAATTCTAATACATCTTCCTCATCA